CTGTCCCGGCTGATGCGGTCTCTGTCACCGCTGCCTCCCACACGTCCTTGTTGGAGATGGAGCCCAAGAAGTCACACTTCGACAGCGCGAGCCGGCAGCAGGACCTCGAGCTCGTCGGCCTCCTCTTGGGCGTCCTGACGGCAACGCGGAGCTGGAGGGGAGAGGCGGCGCGGTTTAAGCGGCAAGGTTAATGTAACGCCCCGATTTTCGTTCGGGATTAAAAATCATTTAATAATGCATTTTCTAGAAATTAAATAACAGTTAAACCAATTTAATCAAGTAAAATAATGGGAGAATTTGAAATTTTCCTTTAAAAATCATTGGCCGGGAATATTTTGTAATATTCTTTGTGCCCTAATGTACTCTCCGGAATTTTCCGTGAATTTTCGGAGCTCGAGAAATAGTTTTAATAGCACAAAGATCATTGCATCAATTAAAATAAAAAGAAAAACAATTAAAATCCCCCTTCCTCTCTTTGGGCCATTTTCGGCCCAAGTCTCCTTTCTCTCCCGCGGCCCGCGCGCCCCTTTTCTCTCCCTCTCGGGCCGGCCTTCTACCTCGGCTCGCTCGGCTCTCTCTCTCCCTCAAGTCTGCTTTACCTCCCGCCCGTTTTCCCCTCTCTCTCTCCCCGACAGGTGGGACCCGAGGCCCCACCTGTCATCCCCAACCTCCGGCCAGCTCCAACCGTCGGCCACGTCGCCCACTCCCTCCACCGATCCCGCGCCTCCCCTCGTCCCAACCGGCGTGGACCCGAGTCCCCTTCCACCTCGCGACCACATCCCGCCCCACTCCCCCTCTCTCCCCGCGGGAATCGACGCCACGCCGAGCCGCCACACCCGCCACGATGCCGCCCCACTCCCCCTCGAAATCCGCCGCTCCCCGGCCCTCTCCTCGCCCCCTTGAGCTATAAAATCAATCCCCGTGGCCTCCTTTTCTTTTTTCACCGTTTTCCCGAGTCCCCCACGCCCTCTACCGAGCTCTCCACGCCAATCCCCATCGCCGCCGCTCGCCGGCGATCTCCAGCCGCGCGCCGCCGCTGCCCCGCCATCGCCGCGCCTCACCACATGTGCCAGCAGCTTCGCCATCCCGCGCCGCACGCCGGCCTCCACTCGGTTTCCTTCAACCGCCATCAGAACCACCTCTCCACTGTGCTCCCTCTCTCCATCGGTCCCCGGCGAGCTCCGGCCACCTCTAGCCGCCGCCCTAGCCACTGCCGCGCCGCGCCGTTTGCACCGCCGGTTTCTCCGTGCCTCGCCGCACCCCGGCCTCCGCTCCGTTTCCCCATTTAATCGCCGCCACTACCCTTCCACCGTGCATCCCAAGCTACCTCCACCCTACGCCGCCGGGCCGCCGTTCCGCCTTCGTCCCGAGGAGCGCCGACGCCGAGCTCCCCGCCTTTCCCCGCCCCTCGTCGCCGCGCCCTTGGTGAGCTCCTCCTCTCCCTCCTTGCCTCCCTCCTCTGTCTCCCGTGCGCGCTGCCGCGCCGGTGGCCGCCGCCGGCGACCACCTGGCCGTGCGCCGCCGCCGTTAGGTCGGCCGGCCGGCTTGTCGCCGCCCCGCTCGCCTAGGCCGCCCGGATCCACTTGCCGCGCCGCGCCGCCGCTTTCCCGCGTGCGTCGGCCGTCGCCGCAGGAGGCCGCGCCGACGGGAGCCGTCGCTCGGCCGGGCCGGCCTGAGCTGTGCCCGTGCTCAGCCGCGCCACCCCGTGGCCGCCCGATCAGCTCGGGCTGATCTGGGCCGTCGGTTCCCGTGGACCGGCGGTGGACCGCCTCGGTGGTCCCGGTCCACGGTGGACCGGCGCCCTTGTGCCGCTGACCGGTGGGGCCCGCTTGCCGGCGCCGCCCCTCCCCTTTGATGACGTCAGCAACCCTCTTTTCCTTTGGAAAAATAAATAATAATTGCGTCATAATTCGTTAATAATTCTAGAAATTCATTTAAATGGCTCAAAACTTCTAAAATTCATATCTAATTCATTCGAACTCCGAATTGAGCCATTCAACTTGCAAAATTCATCTAAAATTGAGCTCTACAGGTTTGTTTAGTTTTTATGTACTATTTTCTTGGTTTTTATTAGAGTTTTTCCTCGTTTTGCGTGCCAGCGTGTAGAATCCGTCGTTTCGGAAGTCCGCGGTCGCGAGGAAAAGAGTTCGGAAAATCGTTTTGAAGAAACAAGGCAAGTCACACATTCCCCTTGAGCATGTTGATCCCAATTTACAAATGTTTTACTGTTTGCAAATAAATATGCATGTTTTGCTAATTACATGGGATTCGGGTATTACCTATCTGCTCGCTTGTGCCATGTTTACTTGATATCTGTTCTTTGTCAACCTTGGGTAATGAATCGACTAGCTCATGTTACTTATGTGACCTAGCTAGAACTATATGCTTAGCCATGCTTAATTACCACTAGCTCAGTTGATGGGATAATTACAGTATTAGACCTTTTTAGTATCAGAGTGAGCTGCGTGCTCGAGACATCTGGCCATGCTTCATAGTCGTAATTATCCAACTAAAATGCGACTGAATGGTGGGCTGTGGGTGCATGGTTTTGCTAGTCGCACCCATGGCAATTAAGGACCGGTTCGCGGGATGCCCTGGAAGAACTTATCGTACTTACCACAAGCCAGCGTGGGCAACGGCTGGGCTTGTAGTGTAGCTTTCCTCTAGTCGACGCATCCAGGCAAGGGTGGGCGTGATGGAGTTTGGATGGGCCCTGCGACGGCCTATGCGGCTTCCGGATTCACCTAGGCACGAGAGGGGACTGCCCGTTGCCCGCTGGGGACGGGGGTGAAACCTGAGGTGTGGTGTGCTTGGCTAGAGGGGGTTATGCGAAGGGTCCTGTCACAGCCTCTTTCCGGTATGTCGTGGTGGCATGTCGGCGCACGGAAACGTGTCGTGGGGCTGTGTCTTGTGGGTACAGTTGTACACCTCTGATCAGAGTAAAACTATTCGAATAGCCGTGCCCGCGGTTATGGGCGGTCGACCAGATTCACTGTGATTAGTCCCATCTTAATAAATCGACCCAATACACTGTAGTTCAGGTGGGTTGGTTGGGCCTGTTCAACGTGGTGTAGCGTTGACCAGTGGAGATTTAATGTTACTTTAATTACTCAACCATTTTACTGTTTTGCTCAATAAAGTGTTTTACAACTGCCTTTATGCAAATAGCCACAAACCATCCTTGTATCCCCTTGCACGTCTGCATCGTTGGTGTGGCTTGCTGAGTACGGTGGTTGTACTCAGCCTTGCTATTATTCCCCCTTTTCAGAAGTGTAGTGCTTCTGAGCTGAAGACGAAGTTAGAAGACCAAGGCTCAGACCCCAGTTGAGTTTTGCCTGTGGAGTGGAGCTGAAACCCCGCTAGGATCGCCTTTTTCCGCTGCTGTCGTTCTGTTTCGGTGTGAGGACTAAGTGCCTCTTCCGTAAGTATTTTACGCTTTATTTACGTTTGGAACTGTATATTACTTGTCGTTTTGTGTACCCTGGCTGGTTCTGGACAGGGATTTACTACGCAAAATAGTCTGGAAATTTGGGTTAAATTTCTGGGCGTGACAGCTAATGGCGGCGCATGTGGTGGGCGACGCCAGCGAGGTCGCATGCCGCTGCTTGCAGCCATCGCCTCTGCTACCAGCCGTGACCCCCGAACCCCATCGCTGACGATGTGCTGTAGCGTCGTCCTCGCCAACGACAGCCACTCGTCTGCGAGAGACAAGTCGCCATTGCCACCGGCGTCCGCTCGCAGCTGCCGAGCCTGCAGGTGCGCCGCCTGAGCCGCTGCTCGTAGTCCCCGTCGCCGCTCCAAGCCGCCACCCCCGAACCACGCCGCCGATGATGTGTCGCGGCGCCGTCCTCGCCAACGACGACCGCTCGTCTGGGAGAGACTAGTCACCATTGCCGCCGGCCTCCACTCGCAGCCACCGAGCCTGTAGGTGCGCCGCCAGCGCCGCTGCTCCCAACCGCCACCCCCAATCCACGCCACCGACGATGTGCTGCAGCGCCATCCATACTAACGACGGGCGCTCATCTGTGAGAGATGAGTCAATTGTCGCCGGCCTCCACTCGCTGCCGCTGAGCTCGCAGGTACGCTGCCTGAGCTGTCGCCCCCAGCCACCACCCTCAAAAACTTAAAAAGGGCAAAACCGTCTTTTCTCCTGCTAGTTAACACCGTCACCTTCAAAACTAACGGAAGTGCCAAATAGGGAAGAAAAAAATTTGAGGGTGCCTAGATAGGGAACTTTTGAAGTTTGGATGCTATAGAGGGAAGAGCAACTTTTTTTATGCTAGATAGAGAATTTTCTCTTCAATAATACATGGGCTATTTCTGAGTTTAACTTTTGTACCTGGGTTTTTCCTAGCTAAGCTGACATAAAAAATGGGAATTAAGGGAATGAGAGGCGCGCACGGGTATTTCGTCGTGCGGTACTCGCGTGTAGTAATGATACATGAACATGTACGCAATAGATTTTCCCCACAGATTTTTTCACAATTCCACAAGTAAAAGCTTATGTTTGCGAATGCATAGAAAAGAATGGATAGAAAAAAAAATGAAACTAGAGTACCTGAATAAAAAAAAAATCCAAACAGAGTTGGTCCCATGTAAAATTTCCATGTTTTGAATCATATCATAAATAAATTTATTAGGATTAAAAAAACACCAATCTCCAAAAGGAGGACTAATGAAATTGTAAAAGCAAACGAACCAAAAGCACAATTAATTGTAGTCAACCAAAAAAAAAGAAAGAAGTTATTGCAGTCCAACAAAACAACAATGCCCTAAGCCAAAGCCCAAAACGGCCCAAACCACCACAACCATATCTATAACCCCACTGACAGCTTGGTCCCAGAAAAAAAACGCATTAAATCGACACCCCACCCCCACCTGTCAGCGTGAACCCACCCCTCCCACTGACAACCCGGGCCCACCCACGAAAATATGGGGTTCCCGCCCATGGCCGCCTCCCATGGGCATGGGCGGGAACCCACGAAAATTGTAGTATAACAAGAGAGAAGAAGAGAAGAAACCGGAAGAGCAGCCTCCTCGCCTCGTGTCAGGGCAAAGGCCCAGTAAAACCACTAGTGGAGCAGCATCAGCATCAGCAGCAGCAGCGCACTCCTCCTCCTCCTACTCCTCACTCGCCAGCAGCCGCAGCCGAGGAGGAGGCGGAGGCGGATGCGGGAGATCCCCCGCGTGGCCGCCGCCGCCGCCGCCGGAGATGGACACGCCGGATAGGCCCCCCCGCGCCGCCGCCACCGCGGCCGTCGAGGTCCGGGATGCTGGGGCTCGCTCGTCGAGTGGACTTTTTTTTTTGGGGGTCGATTTTAGGAGGGGTTTCGGGTTAGGGGGCGGCGGCGGCGGCTGCGGGGGGAGCCGATTTGGGGCTTCGGTTTATTTGTTTTTTATTTATTTATTTTTACTTCTGATTTTTGTTTTTTTTGGGGGGTTGGATTCGCTCGTCCAGTTCATTGGTGGGGGGATTAAGCGGGTGTGTTGGGTGGGGGGATTAGGGGTTTTTGCTCATCCATTGTTGAGCTTAACGCGGTGCTGGATTTGAGGGATGGAAGGGGGTTTTGTAGGAGGAGATGTTGTGGGGTTTGATTCCGTGTCTAATCAACATGATCTCCCTAGATGTTGCGGCCATTCGCCGCTCCGGATTGGGGCCTAATCGTGCTAGAAGTCTCGATTCAGGTTTGCTTGTCTGAATATCCATTCCGTTTCCTATCAGAGCGCTCTGGTAAGAGAGATGGGCTGTTTTAGTTGGGGGAACTAAGTGCAATAGATCCGTGGCTCACAGCAGTGTGGTTCGATTTGGTTCAGTTGTCCATGTCAAATGTCGAGAAAATGGATGATTTGTGTTTAGGGAACCATTGCTTAGATCTGTGGCTTAATGCAATGCTCGCTGATTTGATCGATTCTGGTTCAGCTGAGGAGCTCCATTGGGCATTCTACTTGATCATGGAAGAATCCTTGTGCTAGTTAGGATCTGGTTTTTTTTTTTGTCGTGTCTTGCACTTCCTGTTTTTTCTGGAACGCTTCTGAACTTTGACCTGGCTAGACTGAACAACTATTTGATCTAACAACTATTTGATCTAAGCTGTTCAAAGTACTTAGGCCCTTTTGTTTAGGCTTATAAGCCAACTTATAAGTCAAAAAGTCAGCCTAAACAAACAAGCAGCCTTTTCGTTTGGCTTTTTTGAAGCCATAAGGCACTAACTGTTAAGCCAAAAGCTAGGTTGGAGAAACATTTTTTTGGCTTATGTGAGCTAGATGTATGACACCACCACTAAACTTAGGACATTATCCACCGGCTTATAAATCATATAAGCCAATAAGCCTAAGCCTAAACAAAGAGGGCCTTAACAACCAACAGTAAACTGTTTCTGATGACTATCTGGGGATGACTTTAACTACAAGAAGATATGGGAAATCATGTATTTGCTTGCGGAAGCAGGAGGCTTTGATTGCTTTGGGCTATCCATAACTAATCGAAAACCGCGCATTACGTTTGGATTAGTATTTCACAGAATGCCTTATTACTTTAAGCTAACTTTTATACGCGTGAAGCTATTATGAAATGAAGACCTTCCATTTTAATTGTTGTCAAATGAAAAACCTTGCAATCTACTCTCTAATTCGTTTTTTGTGCCTGCAGGACTCTCCTGTCTTCAATTTCATCAACAGCCTATCTCCTATACCACCACCTAAGCCTTCAGACTCAGCACATAATGTTCAACTATTCAAGTCATCAGACTTGGCTCCTGTTTCCTCAATCTTTGCCTCACCACATGTCAATCCTGCAAAGGAATCTAAACTTCCAATCAGGTAAATTTATGCTATTTTCTAGTTGAATGTAATTTCATCCTTTTAGGCTTTAGCTTACTATATCTACATGTATCTCCATATTAACCAGGGAAGATTCTGTTCAACTTTCTCGAGAATCGCACTCTCCGAACAGTGTCAGAACTCGAACAGGGGCCACAAGCTCTATTATTAGAATGATCAGATGCAAAAACATTGTTTCAGAAAATTGCAGTATAACTTGTTACCTAAATGATTCAACTTCAAGTAAAGCATCTCAACCCATCCAGCTTTGTGGCGGCAGTGCAGAAAGTGATACGAATCAAAATACTGATGGTAAAAAGGATCCCACTACAGAGCAAGACCGTACAGACATAGAATTCGTCCTACTTGATCAGTGTGGACCAGAAAAAATGGATTCATCACAGTCAGGTAATAATGCTTGTGAAAACCAACTGTCTGAACAACACAAGGATGAACTTGGGTCATTTGATGGGGGTTACATGTTTGCACATCAACCACATAGTGATATGCTGAGATTAGCTCCACCATTTGAGTCAGAAACACAGTTAGTGAATGAGACATTACAAACAGATAATGTCTACTGTGAAACCTTGTTGACCGATGGGCCAAGTGGCTCTTACACACAAAATTCTGCACCTGATCCTCATCTTTACTGGGCTGGGGCAGTTGAAGGGTGTGCAACAGATTATACCCCCCAAATGCTCCCTGGTGCTTGTCAAAGCCAGTTGGTGCCAAATGATCAAATCAATAACAAGCTCAACGAGCCCAGTGATTACATGCCAATGGACCACAATGTATGTATTCTTCTTGCTACTACCCAATTGGAGATATTCACTTGTTGGTTTTGCTGATAAATCATAGCAAATTCTTTGTCTAACTAAATGCAGCAGTGCATTTATAAACAATATATTAAGAGCTTGAAAATTAAATTAACCAGCAATTTGGCAAACAAAGGTCTTCTCTTCATGCATTTTTTTCTTTGTGACACGCTCAATTTGATAACCTAAGTTTCAATGTTTATATATTGCTAATCTGAATTGAAGTATCAATGTTTATTCTTGTGGGTCGTGGTAATAAACTAAGCAAACAATCTGTTTTCTTGTTTCGGTAGGTGTCATCACAGAATTTACGTGGCATGCGTAGACGTTGCCTTTTCAATGAAAAGAGTGGAGCTGCTAATGAAGGGGCAAAGAACTCCTCAGCTCGTCATTCTACAAATTCAACCACACCCAGACGCAAGATTAGTTCCAGTGATAACAACTTAAAGACTCTGAGGACCCCTCCATGTGCATTGCCTGGTATTGGCTTGCATTTGAATGCCCTTGCCACAGTGCCAAAGGATAAAATGGTTCCCCATAATGACATTCAATCCTCTTTGAATCAAGCCAGCAATGTTCCGTCTGCTGTTGGTTCTTCTCCACCAACAGATGATCCACATACTATAAATGATGACTCCTCCCAGACAGCCGTGGTTGCATATGTTGGTGAATCGAGTCAGGGTAGTCCCAAGAAGAAAAGGTACTTTGTTTCTATGCCCATTATTATAGGTCATGAGAACCATTTCGCTGGGCAAATCATGAAACACAATAATGCTATGCAGACACAAGTTCGACAATGGTGATGGCACGTCGTGCAAGCGTTGTAGCTGTAAGAAGTCAAAATGCTTGAAGCTGTAAGTTGTTCTACACCTTCTTTTCTCAATTGTTTCTCATAATATGCAACAAGCCAACCAGGTTAATTCAGAGTGAAAACATGTCAAGATATTGGTTGGTCTGAGGTATCAATTGTTTATTAGTGCTTGAGGTTTAGGATGAACACGTCCATGTTTTTTTCCTGTTTATGAAGTAGTGGCGGTGAGATAAACATATATGGTGTATCAGGCACTCCAAGTTTTGGGTGGAGTGCATAATAGAAAATAATTGCTTTGATCATATATGATTTATGACAAGTTGATGCACAGTGTTCAGGCTTCCTTTTCCAGTCATATCTACAGTATCATTTCTTCAACTGTCACACATTCCTGAGCTTGTAGATGTCAACATATTGCCCTGGGCTAGTTTTTGGGACTGTGTACTGCTCCATGGAATCTAGTTAGCTATGTTAATTTTAAAACTTCTTCTGTCCTGCCTCCAAAAAAGAAGCTTTTGCAAGTAGCTTTGTATTAAAAAATTGAAAAATTTAGGAGCTTCTGAAACGGCACTACAATCTTTGTTTCAGAAACATGGTTAGAAAAGTTTTTTGTCACAATGCACAAGCTGTCAAATTTCCAGTTGGGTATCATTTGTAAACTAAAATAGACCGATATGGCTGGTAAGCATGGGAGAATGGATAGTCAGAAGTGAAAAACCAATAAAAATAATTTAATGCCCTGTGGCTGGTTTGGACTCATGCAGTTGGGAAATGGGACCACCCACAGTCACTACTGTAGCATTGTTGCAAAAGGAAAGTGATAACTCTCTAGGCTTGTCAGTTTTCTTCTTAATGTTGTTGAGCCCCACCATTGTCTTTCTGTCGTTCACATGTGTGCAACAAATTTGATGATGATGAGGACAATTCAACATGAGCAATCCTAAAACAGAAAGCTGATGTTATGCCTGTGGAACATGTCATTTTGCTTGTTTTCCTAGACATGGTTAAATACTAAAAAGCACAATACTTGAGTTTGCAGTGGACCATTCTGCTGATATTACTAGTACAATAGGCCTGATATTGATACATGAAATTTGATCTTCTGGATAGCCATTTCTTATGAACAAAATTACAGACTGCTATACTGTTGACATGGACCTGCAGGGCATGCACTTGCTGCATGTTCAGGTTTCTCTTGGTTCTCTAGCCGTCTAGCAATTTTATTAAGTTAGCATTAGAAAATAAGAAACCATTTTAGATGTTTCTGAATCTCCATATTGCTCCTTTGAAGAGTTTCATTTGTTATTTACAAGATATTTCTGGAGAAGTTCTGTCTTCTTGTTGGGATGTGTTCTGTCAAGCATCATCTCTAATATAATGTCATTGTTGGCTAATTCTTATGCAGGTACTGTGAGTGTTTTCATGCTGGTGTCTTTTGTTCAGAACCTTGTTCGTGTCAAGGCTGTCTGAATATGCCTAGCAACATGGAAACAGTTCTATCGACTCGAGAGCAGATTGAGTCTCGTAATCCACTTGCATTTGCTCCTAAAGTAATTCGCACTGAGCCTGGTCAGGAATTAGCTGTAAGAGCCACTCTCTTTGTTTTACTTCCTTTCTCCTTTGTTACGTGCTACTGCTCATATAATCCTTGCTATATTATAGGATGACTCTAACAAAACTCCTGCTTCTTCTCGTCACAAAAGAGGCTGCAATTGTAAGAAGTCATCGTGTTTGAAAAAATACTGCGAATGTTATCAGGTTCTAGCTCTTACACGAGGTCATGATTTGACATTCTTTTCTTAGCCCCTTGGCATTTGTCTCACTGTCACTTTTCTTAAAAAAAAATGAAGGGTGGTGTTGGATGCTCTGTGAGTTGCCGATGTGAGGGTTGTAAGAATGCTTTTGGGAGGAGGGAGGGTAAGTTTCATCTTGACATCCTGTTTTATAAATGTGCAAAATGCATGCATTGCTCAAGATTAGTTGCATCTGTGGTATTTTATGTGATGTACATATCAGATACAAAGGAAAGGTTAGTTGGGAGAGGAGGTGCTCTTTAGGTTCATATTTGCTTCCAAATAGTATTTCATATGTTTCTAGAGGATTCAGCTTTGATCTTTCAACTTGTAAATTTAAATACAGGAGAGCACTAGGAATCTTAGAATATCTTGCATGCTATTCTGTTTGAAAATGTACTTCCTAGGTAAGATTTCATTGTAGGAATTGATGGAGTTACTTAAATTTGGAGGTTGGATCATTAATAATTTAAATTAAATTTGTTTTTTTACTGGAAATTAAATGATTGTGGGGGATGCACATAGAGAACCCTGAAAGGGAAATCATCCCCTCAAACTTCTGTCAAGTGAGTAAAGACAATGGTAACCATCTTAGTAGGTCAAGTCTACATCATGTATAGCTGTTTCAGATTTTGTTCAACATAACAATTCCTATACTATAGCATTAGTAGGTACCTTTCTTTTTAGTTTTGCGAGGGTTTATAAGTTATTGGTTTTTTATGGTACTCTACCTTTTTCCATTGAAGGAGTTGCACTGTTAGGCATAGAGGAAGCTAAGCGTGGATGCGAAGAAAAGGATGGAGGCGTGAAGGAAGAAACCACTGATAATGATAAGCAGCTTGTTATCTATCAAGATAGTATCAACCTTACTCCTGCTGAGAGTGTGCTGGCAACACCTTCAGTTGTGGATTACAGGTCTGCCTCGTACAATTACTCATGTTACTGTGGATTCAATCTCTTCTGTAAAATGCTAAAATGTCAGTTTTCTTTTGTTCTTCTAATCTTCTTCCTAGACCCTTGGTTGCTCTTCCACCTTTGAGCTCCAAGAAGCCAAGATCGTCGACGAAGCTTGGTGGATATTCTTCTCGACTTGAAGGACACCTGAAGTCTGACATTCTACTCTCTCCATTCGAAAGCTACGCAGAAATGATGCTCGGGGATGGTACATCAAATGTCCTAAAAGGGGAATCATCCCCTCAAACTTCTGTCAAGGTCGTGTCACCTAATAAAAAGAGGGTCTCTCCCCCTCGCATTGGTACCGGATTGTCTCCGATCTGCAAGAGTGGCAGGAAGTTGATTCTCAAGTCCATCCCTTCATTCCCTTCTCTTGGTGTCGACATTACTAACGAGGATCCAAACACTAGTTCGCTAGCTCCTTGAACACAACAAAATTTAGTGCTTGAGGTAAAAACATCTCTCTCTCTCTCTCATTTGCCTTTGTTTGATGATGATCATAATGCTATGTCCAATCTATGCTCAGCTAAATAACTACCTACGATCGTGTAGGTTATATCCTTGTTTATTTATGGTTCCTCAGAGGACCAGATCGCCAACATCTCAGTCTGCATCAGGGTTGGTTCTATCATGCTCTAAGTTTGATGATCAACCAAGGGAGTTTAGTTTCGGCAAGTTTCTGTTCAGAGGCTGAAGTTTTCCCGTGCTTTCTCGAGAGTGAAATGCCCAATAATAATCCAGTACGTGTACACGTACCAAAAGATGTCCAAAAATTACGCCCCCATCAAGAGCCTCCTGTGACAGGAGGTGTGCTAATAATTATGCCCGGACTTGTCGACTATCTGTCATTGTTTGAGTTGCCCATCCCTGTTCGTATGTATCATTTCACGCTTCATCTGAAAGACATCTATCATCAATGTGTTGTGTTGAAAAGAAGAGATATGTCATCTGTGTACTTTGATATTGTTATCATCTATGTAATGTACTTGGGATCAGGCTGTTAAAACTTTTATGAAAACTTTATGTAATTGAGAACAAGCAGTTATTTATAGTACTTATGAAACAACTCTGTTTAAAATCCAATTGTGTGTGTGTGTTTTTCAATGAACTTGACCATATCGGTTGAAAACTTGCTTAATTGCTTGTGCAACATTTTTGTACTGTAAAAATTTTATGGAACAGGGATTTGTGCAGAGAAAAAAAAACAAGATCATAAAAAAAAGCTGGATGTCTGCAAATCTCAAGGCTGGTGGTATAGATGCAATTTTCTCTGGCTACAAAAGTCCAACCACGAATGGTTACTGACGCTGTGGTCATATGATCTTCATAACCTTGTTCCCTTTTGCTTGTCTTATGCTTGCAAAGCTTCAATACCGCCGTGTGTGTGTCTACTTTGGAGTACAGAGCATGTGAGTTCAACTGCAAAAGGGCAAAGTGTGTGCACGTATTTTAAAACTTCCGTTTTTGAGAGGCGTATCTATCACTAGCTATCTATAAAAACACTGAGACCCAAAACGACCATTACCTTAATCGGGGAGGAGGAGAGAGGTTTACCGTACCCGGTAAATCAAACGAAAGCTATCAAAATTCAAAAATATCTTTTTCATTTTTAAATAATTTCTTGTCAAGGAAACCCTGGCCCAATCCTGCTGCAAAAACTCCTACCGGGCTTGGAGCCGTACGGGCCTCGGCCCAACCCAGCCCACCTCCGCACGCCCTCTTGACCACTTGCCTCCTCCCAGCTCGGCTCGTATCGTCGCGGCTCTGGGGATCGGCTCGTCTTCCCCCCTCTTCTTTGGTTGGCTTCGTCTCCGCGCACTCACACACCACCACCAAAGGGGAACGGAAGCGAACCCCTCCTCCGCCGCCGCCGCCGGAGATCGCCCGCTGTCCCGCCAATCCGCCGCTGCGGCCTCTGGTTGTCGTCGCGAAGCCGGCGCCTGCGCTCAGCTGGGATGGCGTCGAGTGGAGATCCATCGGCAGTCGTCGGTAAGCCTAGCTTCTCCTGGATCCGCTTCCTTTGACCCGCGCCCCCCGATCTCCTCCTCTCCCTCTAGCGCGAGCGCGGAGCCTACCCCGGAACCTCCGTTTCCTCTATGGATGGATGGATTGATTGATTGATTGGATCGATTTTTTTTTTTTTTGGGGGGGGGGGGGGGGTCCCAATTCGCTCGCTGCTGTCACCTGCCGTGGATCCATCATCGGAGCAGATCGATTTGGCTGCTATGTGTTCTGGTTCGCACACACTGCGTACCGATTAATTAATATTCAGGACGATTGCGAAATCTCCCTTGATATATCAGGGAAGGGGAAAGTATAGACGTTTTTCGTGGTTTTCCTCATGATATGGTGCACTAGAGGCATATGCTATTTGTCCCTGTTCGATTATTGCATCGAGGATTCGAGGTGTGCTATTTGAATGAATGACGGTTAAAATGATAGTAGTAGCAGCTAAATGTACTTGTAATCTTATCATGGAGCAGGAAATGTTGGATCTTTCAGAAAGGTAGCATTAGTTGTCAGTTATTACTTGTGGATTGGTAGAATGCAGTATTGGGCTTCTCGCCTTCTCCATACACGATGTTTTCGTTTGACAGACTAGCTTTGCCTAAAGCCCCAAACTGGTGGTGGAAGCTATCACTTGTAGTTTACCAGGAGTCCAGGACTATTGCTAGAGTCGAATGCTTGGGCTGGACATTTTTCCCTTCTAAGCCTTCATTCAGTTTTTGCGCTTATGTGGTCAGAGCGTAAAATAGTTTGTTAGCGGTTGTCTTTTCCCCGTTCATAAATGATTGTCTATTACTTAGCACTTACTGCAATCAGTTGGGCACTTGGACCCCATTTCATCTCGTTACATAAATCCTCATGGTTTGAATCCAAATTAGTGGGTTTGGAACTTACATTTTAAAACAAGTTCATGATGCTTGTATTTGCCAAGATAAGTTTTTGAATGGATATTTGGCAAAATACTTGCCCTTGGTACCTTCTTGATGTAACCAGGAGGAGAATCGTATCCTGGTTGTGTTTTTAATGCTCTGTGAAGCAAGCTGTGTTATTAACTAGTATAAATGTTATCTCAGTGCCTAGGAACTTCAGACTGCTAGAAGAGCTTGAGAGAGGGGAGAAGGGCATCGGTGATGGATCAGTAAGCTATGGAATGGATGATGCAGACGATATCTACATGCGCTCTTGGACAGGCACAATTATTGGTCCCCATAACGTAAGTTGTTTGTTTCCATTGCTTACTCTTGTACTCATAATCTTCATATGTAACTGTTGCGTTCTGAGCTCGACGCTTTCTTGTTGATATATATTTGGTTTCGAACATTTGAATTTTTGATAGACTGTCCATGAGGGCCGGATATACCAACTGAAGCTTTTCTGCGACAAGGACTACCCAGACAGGCCACCAACTGTAAAATTTCACTCAAGAATCAACATGACCTGTGTAAACCCAGAGAATGGATTGGTATGACACGAGAAATTTGGTTCAGAATTATTTCTAACTCTTGTGTTCAATTATTTGATTAATTAAAACTTATCTTTTGGAGCTAATGTAGGTTGACCAAAGGAAGTTCAGCCTGTTGTCAAATTGGCGCCGCGAGTACACAATGGAGGCTATCTTGACCCAACTTAAGAAAGAGATGGCAGCATCACACAACCGGAAACTAGTGCAGCCTCCAGAGGGGACATTCTTCTAGAAGCAGGCGCCCGCCACTCATCTCCGCATGCCATGGATGAACCATTGTAATTCTCTTTCTATATATCGCATGAGATTTGAGCCGTCTGAACATTTGGTGCAAATGATTGTAGCTGAACTTCGCTGGTACTACCTTGTACGTGGTCCGTGTACGTCCTGTGTTTGTGTCGTGTCTCGCTTGTTTGGTTAACAGTTTGCCAGTACGGCATTACCTCAAGAGACAAAACTAACGAATTGGGGTAAAATCTTTGTAATGAATCTAGTGATGCTCTGCAGATTTGGCTATGTTTCTGAAGTGGTACTATGCTGGTTCTTTTTCTGGCATTGCAAGTCTAAATTTGTTGTTTGTTTTGTCTTCAGATTACCATGTTGCATTAACCTGATCTCACATCTGTGGTGATAAAATTGTACTAAATTTTAAATCACAAAGTTTTCAATTGCGAATCGCTCTAATAACTGGAAATAGAGTAATTCATTATCTCATGCTATGCTGTACCATAATAAGATTGATTAGAGTTGTGATTGTCAACAGGACAACAGATATGATATTAAAGAACGCGATCCGAAAAGATAATTTCAAATAACAAATCGCATGGCAATACGAATAAAACGAACTCTTAAACAAATTTACAAAGCATATATCATCAAAATAGTACTTATACTATTCGTGAACGCAATCTAAAACCGTAATTTAAAAAAAAACAAATCCCGTCGCAATCGCAACTCGAATAAAGCAAACTCCTAATCTATTTCCACCTAAACATATCATCTTCATTCATACCCCTTCTAATTTAAATTTCGTAAATACATGGGCGAGAGTTCAATTCAAAGACGGCATTTAATTATGGGCTGTTTTGGATTAGTGCCAAAAACGTGCCCTACCAATACTTTGGTAGTTTGAACAGTGTATCTGGTGATTTTGGTTTGAAGCCAAATCATTGGCATTGCCAATGCCCAATTTGATATTTTCTATATTCTACTCAATGCTTGGTTCTAAATTGGCCTCAAACCAAATACAACTCTACCCTACCAAAAAATTGGTAGTACCAAAACTTGCCTAGGTTTTGGCACTACCAACATTTTGGTAGGGTATTGAACCAAACAAGCCCTATATCATCCAAAATAAGTAACGCAATCTAAACCCCATAATTTAACATAATAACAAAATCCCATTGCAATAAGAATAAAACGAACTCTTAACTAATTTCACTACATACTTCGTGGAAGAAACAACCAACTTTTGACAGACATAGATTAGAAGTTGTTTTTTTTTACGGAGAATATATACCAGCTTTATCTTTTCGTGTATGTTTATACTTATCAGTAAAATTTAAATTTTCAATTTAGAGTTGACTTTAGAGTTTTTTTCATTGTAGTTTATTTTTCAGCCTCTACTTTTAGATCGTTAAAAATATGTATATAAAAATTTTATTCACAAATTATATTTTTTCCGTTTGCAAACATATCGTTGGGATTATTCCTCGTCAAATAAGCCAAACGATAGGGCTATAAATATCATCTTCGTAACAATAATCCCCAACCCCCAATTTAAAATTCGCGAATTGAAGTTAAAGGACGGAATTTATACGATTTGGGAGATGGAGAGAGAGCGAAAAAAAATAAATAAATTCCCCATCATCCATCGTAGCCAGACCCGAATCTCAAAGCCGCTCCCCGCCGTCCGATCCACCCCCCGCATCGCCTCTCCTCCAATCCCGCATCGCCTCGTGCCCTCCTCCTCCCCCTCGCCTCCGCCTCTCTCTCTCCCCCCTCGCCGCCACGGCGAACCCCTCGCCGCCGCCACCGCCACCGCCGATCGGGCGGGAGGAGGCGTCGCCCGATCCGATGTCGGCCGCGGAGGATCCCGCGAAGCCCCCGCCCCCACCCCCGCCGCAGCTCGAGGCGTCCGGATCGGACCCCGACGACCCCCTCCTCCGCGACCGCGTCGTCGTCATCGCCCCTCCCCCTCCCCCGCCACCACCACCACCACCACCAGCACCCGCCCCCGCCCTCCTCGCCCCCGCCGAGAACGCCTCCGCGGAAGCCGCCTTCGCCGTGCCGCCGGCGGCGATCGCGGCGGTGGTGGAGGCGAACGGCAACTCGGAGAAGAAGAAGAAGTCGGTGGCGTTCGTTTTTTGGTCTTCGATTTCCTGTTTTTGGTACGTTGCGTGCTGCTAACTCGTTTTTGCTGTTTAATTTTTTTATATGTTTAGGAGGAAGACGGATGAAGGGGAAGGGTGCAAGTCGTGCAGCTGCAAGAAATCCAAGTGCCTTAAGCTGTAAGATTTTTCCTCTTCCCACTCTCTCTCTCTCTCTCTCTCTCTCTCTCTTTAATGGTAGAATTGGCTCATGATCTTACCATAACACGATAGAGGGTGGAGAAATTGAGGGTTTATCATGTCCAGCTCCTCTTTGTTTGTTCGTATCATCTATCTCTAGGATGCTCTTGGAGTATCATTTTTTCACCGGGTGGTGATATAGTTTGCCATCGTTAAAGAATCCTGTGATAGTTTTCATGTAATTCTAGCTTCGATGATCACGCTTTTGAAACGTATGTTGGCGAAGGACCGATTACTTTTAGTTTGAGTCCTGCTTGAGAGTAAAAATTCTGTAGCACTAACAACATGTCAATGAGTTGTTAGGTACTTTATAGTTTATGAAGGGTGGTCCTTTTTTTGGGTATAAAATTTACTCTCCTTTTGTTTCTGTTATTATATTTTGCTGTAAAGTTTGGGCCTTAAACCACAACTCAGAGGAACTGGCTAATTTTGTTTTTCCTGATAATCTGCACATTAGTGCCATTAATGTAATTTGTCACCTCACTCTGAGTTTTGGGGAGGGGGGGGGGATTTTTATGCATGGAGATGCATGTAAAGAGGATGGAAATCCTGATATGGTTTGAGCACACCTGCATAAACCCCCATCCCACCTCCTGCAGGCCTAGACACAAACCCTGTCCAGCACTCCAGCCAGCCAAGAGCTTGTGTGCAACACCATGCTTTATGTTTATTACTGCTAAGTAATCATTTCTTTCTGTTTGTAACTGACACTTGATTTATGCTGTGGCAGTTATTGTGTGTGTTTTGCATCTGGATCACATTGTTCTGAATCATGTGGATGTGATCCATGTTACAACAAATCTATTCATGGTGTTCCACGGAGTACACCAGCCTTGCCTTTGAAAGCTGTTCAAACATTAGAGACTGGTCAAGATTCAGTGGTATACATTTTTCTTAAACAGAATCTTATTATTTTGGATTATTTTGTGTTCCTGGTTTCACTGTTCCTGGTATGATCTCTCTAGGAACAACTTATAAGATCCCCTATGGACTTTGGTAGAAGAAAATGCACTTGCAAAAAGTCAGGCTGCCTTAAGAAATACTGTGACTGCTACCAGGTTTCATATCTAGCTCTATCCTGTTAGTTTCTCATCTTTTGTCCACTCATGACCATGGATATGTTTTTCTTCTGTGTTTGAAGGGAGGAGCAGGATGCTCCATCAACTGTAAATGTGATGATTGCAAGAACCCATATGGGAGAAAAGGTAATACAATGTGTTGCCAATCCGATTTAGTAGATACAATTGTTTGAAGTAGAATTAATTGGATATATACCACATAAGTTTCATAACTGGGAAGGTGATTTGCACCAGCTATAGGAGTTAGAGATTTTGGTTGATCTTGTTTCAAATAGCAGATTTTTACAACCGTTTGCTTGCGGCTACAAGTAGCAGCTATCCCAGGATCCTTCTAATCAGGAGATTTAGGCTTCTAATGCTCCCAGAAATGTTTTTTTTTCAATACATGGCTCAAAGAGATAACACTAGTTTGTATTTTATTTTTTATTGCTAAAGTTACAAAATCTGCACAGATAGGACTGTCTACCTGTTGCTATGGTCCAAACCCAGTAGGGCTCATTAGAGAGTAACAAAAGAGGGAGTTCTGTTGGTTGCAGTAGTTAAGGTAGAAAATTGTGCTGTTTTTGATTACATGCACGACCTGGTTCCTTTTCCTGTCAGGCAAATTCTGTTTGTCTCAGTTTAACCATCATGGTAGAACTTGGAGCTTTTCATTCCGTGGCCATCTCATTGTAGGGAAAACTAACTTGATCATCATGGTAGAACAAGGTGCCTTCTGTTCCATCATCAAGATAAACTGTTTGGTTGGCCCACAATCACAAAATACATTATAGAACCTTATCATATCTAACATATACACCTAATGCTGTGGAGGAACCTGGCAGGCTGGCACACACAGACATAGGGAGTTCTGGACTTATGATCTTGTCAATATGTATCTGCAATTGTTAAATGCACATGAAAGTATGAACCGATAAATATGCTTGTTGTATTTTGTCACCACCAGTCCTGTGAAATTCTATACAAAATACAAGGAATATTTAATAACGACAAACTGCACAGCAATCAATGCAGTAATTTAGATTTTACTACACCAAAGTAAATAGTACTCCCTCTGATTTTTTTTTCAATTTTGAACTAACCGACGTCATACATTAAGTGATGGAGGTAGTAGTAAATTGTGGCTATACTAAAGAATAATCTGATAGAAGCAGCATTATGCTTTGGTTTTTATGTACATTGTTCTTAAGGAACAATATACCTCAACAAATACAAATTGAAGTTATTGTATAGGTCAGTACACTTTGGAATTATGTCTTCATTAAACCGGGGCCTCCAGAATAGCATGTTTTATGCTGCACATTAAGTTCAAATATGTCCTGTTGCAATTATTCTCCAATGATGACATTTATGGCTTGCCCTGACGGAGGAAGTCTTTGATTTTTTTTTTTGGGTATGAATTGCAAGCTGTTGCTAAAATTTAAATATTGCTCATATTCTGCAGTTGGTGTTATTTTGGATGGTAAAAATATTCTTGCTGGACCAACACCAAATGAAAGGAATGGAACAGAAGCTGACTCAAGTGACGATGAAGAAGATGATTATTATATGAACCGACCACTCTCGCCTGTCTCCCCATCTCCAGTATCCAGAGAGTCTTCATTCCAACAGGAGACTTTAGTTGGCGTCGAAGTCCAGACTATGAATGGGCATCTATACCCAAAACCGCTTACCCAAGTGCGGCCGGAATCATGGCAGCTCACTAGGAGGCCTACTGAGGAAGTGCGAGGAGAGGCATGGCACTACTTGAGGAGGCCCAGTGAGGATGGAACATCCGATGTTATGGAAGGACATGCTGACCCCAAGTTTCAGAGAGACAATAAACAGCTGGAAAACCATGTTGATAGGTACAGCATTCCGCGGTGCATCGAGGTGATGAACGCCATGGCAGACCTCTCGCCGATCGAGAAGTCGCTCGCACCGGACGTCTTCTTGGATCCAAGCAATCGGGAGATTTTTCTTTCACTGACTGTAGATATTCGAACCATGTGGCTGAAGCGTAAGATGAAGAGCCTTGTGTAGAGATACCATGAAAATTTTTCATCCGCATAAAACCTGTCAAGCATGTGGTGTACTGTAGATATATCTAGTTTTCAAGAGTTCTGAACCGATGTATCTAGTCCTAACTTGGCACAGGCTATATTGCAGCCAGCAACAATAAATTCATATGATCTTCAGGCTTCAGCTAGAAATTGATTCTACTTATTTCTGCTGCCTCATTGGCTTAAAAGTTATGTATATTTTTCTTCCTTCGATATGGAAATGAGTGACACCCTGTCTGTTATGAAATGCAGGAAGCCCACAATTATATCTTTGCTATCCTCTTCATATGTTCCTACATTCAACCATCATTCATACCATGCACACATTTTCTTCATTACCTACAGTGTACATTGTGTATAGCCATGTGGCATTCTTAATGAGAAGTCTTTCTCAAATGTCATGGAGCCTAAACTGCAAAATTGGATGGAAGACTCATTTGACCATGTCCATGAGGTTGACACTTGACAGAAGGTTGCTAAGCTATGTGCCCCTGATCAAGAGCAAGCAACAGTGATGCTACAGCCCAACACTGGTTGGTGTGCAACAACAGCTCAGGTGACATGATGAACCACACAGTGCCAAGTGATACACAATCACACAGCTCCAATCAGGATAAGATTGGGGGCCAAAGTCCCCCCCTAGCCAAGGAGAAGACAAACCTGGGAACATGAGAACATGTGAGCAATATTGATGAATCAACACTGAACTGCTCCAGATGGGGTGCCGGCTCCTCACCAACCTAACCTTTGATTGGTCTCCTTCATCAATGGAGCCATGGACCATGTTTACTGTACATCTGAACCAGTGAGCCCCAAGTCAAAAAATGGACGTGCATAGGCCATCACAAGTGTCTCGTGTCTGTCCTTAAGATAACACAGGTAAAAAAAGAGAGGAGGAAAACCCATCTATATCTGTAGTGACCTAAGCTTAAGAGATATGGATTATCGTAAGCACACTTTCTAAGCTTTTCTAATCGATATGATTTTTTTTTAAAAAAAACTTCATCAACATTTCTTAGAGAACTTTTTAATCAACTTGTCAACTTCCTAATATTTAATTCGTTTGTCTATATCTTTATAAATAGTTGTCATAAACTAAGTTTCATCCATCATCCATTAGCTAGAAATTCAGGTTTTTTTCGGTTTCTGTGAGAACAAAACTGTTTGCTTTGAAATTACTGCAGATTCCTGAAAATTACACTCTTCCAGTTGATCACTGATTGAGTGGTAGTTGTGCCAAAAACGTTGTTGCACATTATAGAGAAAAATGCGCTGACAAAGTATTGTCTTTTTCGATACCCCAAAAAAATTTATTTAGAACAATCCTATGATCTGACAGCCCAACAATTCCATTTTTTTTTAAAAAAAATGGAGCACAGTGATGTGTGATGGACTGATGTTTGCTGCTGATAGAAACTGGAGGTGCGAAAGCCTGCACTTCATTGTGCTCTGTGCCGACATTCCGATTTGGAGTACTACCAGAAATCAAGATCGTCCATTTTCACTATTTTCAACTGAATTTTAGTTCTCCAGGGCACTATTTATCAGGGAAAGGAACCTGTCATTTATCAAATTCTGAAAAAAAAATATTTTCTTTGAAAACCTCTGAAAAAGATTAGGCTAAATGGTTTCGTTAGAGGCTGCAAGTTGCAACTTAGAAGGTGGCAGATGCTTACCAAAGTGCACGTAGAGGCAGGGTTTTCAGGGTCTAAAGGCAAAGGCAAAGGCAAATGCATTGCAATCTCACATATCCAGAGTTCAGAAGCTGTACTTGTCGAGAGACAATTGTACTAATTAAAATTTAGTCCTTCCCATTATAGAAAAGCTTAAGAACATGATTAGTAGACTCTGGAAGCACTGTCTGCTTGCTTAAAGTTTTAATTCAGCTGTATTTTATAAGTGCTACCTTCATTTCATTTCGTATTATAAGTTGTTTTGTTTTTTTACCTAAGTTAAACTTCATTAACTTTGATCAAGTTTATAGAGAAATATGACAATATTTTTAACATAAAACAAAAATAATATCAGAATATATTCAGTTAGATCTAATAAAATTAACTTAGCAGTATAAATGTTGCTATATCTTTCTATAAACTTGATCAAACTAGGTTTGACTTTAAAAATATCAAAATGACTTATAATATGAAACAAAGGGAGTATCATCTAGCTAGACATGCTGAATTAATAAAGCTTGCGAAATCTCTGAACCTGGAGTATAGGCCTGGTTTAGTTGGCAAAAGTTTTGTTTTGGGTGTCACATCGAATATACGGACACACATTTGAAGTATTAACGTTGTCTAATAACAAAACAAATTACAGATTCCGCCTGAAAACTGCGAGACGAATTTATTAAGCCTAATTAATCCGTCATTAGTAAATGTTTACTGTAACACCACAATGTCAAATCATGACGTAATTAGGCTTAAAAGATTCGTCTCGCAATTTACACGCAATCTGTGTAATTGGTTTTTTTTGTCTATATTTAATACTCTATGCATGTGTCCAAATATTCAATGTGACAGGGTAAAAATTTTTGTTTTGGGAACTAGACAGGGCCATAGTCTTATGACTTTGGCCGAGTTTAGTTCCAATCTTTTTTTTTCAAATTAACTTCCAACTTTTCCATCACATCAAATCTTTCCTACACACATAAACTTCTAACTTTTCCGTCACATCGTTCTAATTTCAACCAAACTTCTAATTTTAGCGTGAGCTAAACACACCCTCAGTTGGTCAGATTGTCACATCGACAAGTTACTCCAAAAGAGAAGGGTAGTAGTAGAAAATGTGTCATGGAAGCAAACGGCACCTAGTGGGTCCAGGGCCCCACAGAGCCCCGGAAGGGTGGGCCACCCATGGGCATGGGCCCAGAACAACACTGGACTGTCACTAGCTGCAGTGAGCTCATTGTCAGTGAGTGGGCCACAAGGCCATGCATGGAAAGCAGGGAAGAGAACTGAAGTGGTGTTGGTGTTTCTGGCCGGCTTGTGCGCCACACTTGCCCCCATCATGGCGGCTTGCTCCCCCCCTTCACTTTTCCAACCCCCTCCCTTTCTTCTTTCTTGGCAACATATCTCAACTATCAAGAGTTCAGTACTACAAATTTATTTGTAGAGAAAAAGGAAGATAAATATTGACCAACTAACATAAATTATAACTAATGTAATGCTTAAATGTATTTTCTATTGAGTATATCTCAGTTGGATATTATCGGGGGAGATAAGAATTCGTCCCATGACCTTGAACCATTTTATTTATTTTTTTCTTGTGCATGTTGGTAGAGATAGGTGATGTAAAACCATTTTTATTATTAAAAAATTTTAAATGCTTAACTCATTCACATAAACCCCACAATAACATAGAACCTCACAGTAATTTTACAAAAAAAAAATCTAAATTCTTGCTCTATAATAATAAAAGATAAATTTTCATGCTCTAAATGAGGCTAATCGTTAGCGACTGGCTCTTGAAGGAATGGGATGGAAGGATCCACAAATAAAGAAGGCGCAAATTGACAATTCGCATATAGTTTGTACACACGCGTGTACGTGTACATGTGAACAGTGAACATGAAGCCAGTGATGCAAAAAAACTTTTCATGTGCACATCATATCCCAAAAGGCCATGGATGGATGGATGGATGGCAGCAAGATAATCAAGGAGATCACAAGCATGCATAATGCAACAGTTGCTAAAGGCTAAAAAAGCTCCATTGATTAAGCAAGATATGTACACATGTAGGTCGGTCGAGATCAGTAGTAGCCGGGTTGGAAAGGAAGATCCATAAGCCCAATTATCCACACATGTTTATCCCTTTTGGAGGGCACTAATAATTAAGATAGCTAAGCAAGCATGCATGCTTGCCACCACCATTGCAAAAAAAAAAAAGTGTATATTCATCTCTAGCTATTTGATTATTTTAATTTATAGTACCTAACTGAATTTTGTTGCTTTGTCAGACATGCTTAGGAATTAGTACCTCTTAATTAATCCTAAATTCAGTAGAGGTTTGTCTTTAATTATCTTAATTCAGTAGACCTTATGCAAAACGTTGTTGACTTGTTTCCTCTCTAAAATTCGCTAGCAAACATGCATGCCATGACATTTTAGGCCGAGCTAGTAATTAAGTTCGAGGAAAATGTTAGCCAGAAAATCATCCATACAATAATTAGTCGACGAGATCTCCCTCCATATCCATTGCCAATCATCTAATAAGCTAGGTAGCTGAAACCTAACTTTGCTCACAAAACGTTGCACTGCTAGATCCCAAGAGGGTACATATATATCAAATGTGCAAAAGGCCCAAAGCTAGGTAGTTTCACCTAACCACACATGCTTGAATTGATCCAAATCACCCAAAAGGTTAATGTCTAGCTACATTTTAGATTTGTTTAACTCTCATGCATATATAGGCGTACTACTAGATCAGTAGAGATATTACACATATATTAATGTATACTTCACCTTCTGATAAAGTCGATAGATATGACCTCACCCACAGAAAGCAATGACGTATTGAGATAACTATAGTAAAAGAAACTGTAAACATTGGATATAACTATCTTTGTAAATATTAATATTGGCATCTGAAAAGTGATTTATATGCATTTGTTTTTTTTTTCACAGAAAAATTGATATACCTATAGTTTAATATGCTTTTGGTATAACTATCTTTGTAGATATTTTGATTGACACCTGAAATGGTGATTTTTTATATATAGATAAGTTATTATTTCCTTCAAAAATTTCTTTTACAAACTATAATTTTATTATTGAATTTTATTAATAATATTGCGACAGAAATTACATCACTCTTCTGTGGAAGGAGGCATATATACAGTAATACAGAGCCATCTTTGAGCATTATAGCCCTTAAAAGTTACAAATAGGTCCTTCAATTCTGAGGTTAATTAGTGCATGACCATGAATATGCATCATTTGGTGTTGGAACACACATAAAGGTTTAGAAGCTGCAAAAGTTAGCTGCTCAATTAATTAAGCTTAGGAGAGATCAAATAGAGATCGTCTGCAACCAGTGGACAGCCACAGCTATGCATCAATGATCATGCATGCATGCGATGCAAGAAATGGACTTTTGAGTGTATCAACATCAGTGTGGGGGACTAGAGGCAATGTCTGACTCATCTTGACCCCTCTTGTACTTTGTTGCACAGCCTGCAACTATATATAGCTGACAGCGAAAATTGTGACTGATTAATCAGTAATTCAGTTATGCTGGCTTACACTTAATTTGGAGAATTAAGTCCTAATCGGATTTCAAATGGGCCCATTTTTGAAGGGGGAAAGAAAATAGACTCTTAGTTATGTTATGTCACATTCAGAATACTGCACTGTCAAGAAACTAAGCCAGCTGGTTCATTTTTTTTAATTTTGTTAGTCCTAAAGAAATCAAAACAAACATTAACTACACTGTTAAGAAACTAAGTATTGTTTTTTTTGGATCTTGAGTCATAAGTACAAGTTCAAAGGTAGCTAGCTTAGCATGAACTTTTAGGCAATACAAATTTTTTGAAGGTTGTTTCCCTTACAAAAGTTAAGACAATAAAGACTATCCACTATTCGTCCATCAGAAAAAAAAATCTCTTTTTTCCCCTTTCCCTATCCTTATGTAGCCAAATTTCTTTTTACATAGGTTAAGAGTCGATATTTTCTCTTTTAAAAACAGTTGATGCTAAACCAATGTTAAGCTTAACATCGATATTTCACTTTGTACTCTCATCTCTTCCATGTCAGCGAATTTGTCTACTTGGAAAGGTTAAGAACCCTTACTAATGAAAGTTGTACATGCCCTAATCCACCTAGCTAGCAATATGCATGTCACTTGAGAAGCCTATGTATGCTACTAGTAAGTTGCTTTGTGGAGAGGTAATTGCATATCATGATTTTGATAGAGCACCTAACAAACGATTACCTAGCTACCTCTTGGCAGGCTCAAGCCGACAGTCCCCAACTCAAGCAATCTTCACTGTACTTTTGCTCCTAATCAAGGTGAATTGCAGCTGAAGAGAAATTAACCCGGCCTAAAAAATAATTTTGCACGGCTAGAAAAACAGATGCATATATATAATTGTTCCAGAATTAATGGCACTAATTACACAATTCTGTATGAGTCCACAACTTGGATTTTTGAACCCCACTTCTCCTTCAATATGAATGGAATTTGGCTATGGCCAGCTCAGCTAAAAAAGAACGAGTAAATAGCATATAAAGGACACCATTTCGTACAAGAATCATAAGCATGCGTGCTGCAATTGTGTGTACTGAAAAATCCTATCCCTGCAATTTGCACTGTTTTACTTATCATTTTCTTACTTTTGGGATTTGCATGGACCCTAAAGTGTGCCTATATAAAATGATTCATTCCCAGCAGGGAATACATCCCTTTTGGTTATATTTAAAAATCCAGCCAACTAGCTTATTGCTCTTAAATAATTCACCAACCTTCAATTTGTATGATTTCAGCATTTAAATCACTCACCAAATCAGAGAATCCGGCAATAGTGTCTCTATCATGTCTCTGTTGTACGAACTCTTATTTACACACCTTTGACAATGTTTTTCTCTCTTTACTGAAATATTTTATTTAGCCACATTTTGGCAGTGTTTTTCTTTTACTGAAAATTTTGATAGTGTTTAATCATAATATTAAAGGGTTTTTCAATGATAATGGTGTGGAGTAGTCAACCTGAGGTTAACCTGCAAGCTCAAAGGTTGAGCATATATAGTTGTAAGCTCAAAGTTAACCTTAGGTGTACAACCTGTCTTGGTCGAGTTTGTTTTATTGACAACTTCAACAACATCGTCTAATAGAGTCTAACTCTCTTTATCTCCGAATGAATGAATTCCTGATTATGAATCTGGACACATGTACCTTTATACTACAAAGGATGAATAAAATTGGATCTCTCATCAAGGAGTTTTGCACATGGTTGTGGCTTAAGACTCAACCAAAGCAACGACTTATTAGTTTTTTTAAAGAAAATTACGGCCAATCAGCAGGGTAGCTTGTAACTCTTGTTGCCTATACTGTACTGTATCACTCTTTAATTATCACTCTTTAAAAAAAAATCCATAAAGTTCCTATGATTTAGAGTAGTAAATGATAAAACTGCACTGAATTATCCCCTGCAGGAGACTGTCATTTCTTCGTGATCTGTAACAACTGAAAAAAGGTAATTAATCGTGATTATTTTTCAGTGTAAAGTGACAGCGATTGATCACACACATGCCAACCAACATTACTTCTGCTTGACCGTAGTAGTATTGTTCAGAGAGGCAATTTAATACTAGATTAGAGTGTGTTAAAGAAATCAGAATACAGTGGCAGGCTTAGTTAATTTAGCTTATGACCGCAGAATGTTTACTGATCACTGGCATCTGGTCACTAGTAGTAGATTATTGACTGATGCAGTCCTGGACTATAATATTAGCAATGTGGTAGGAGAGTCTGATGGAATATAGAATAGAAGGCACCTTTTGCCAGGAACAAAAACAAATTAAAGAAAAATGTTAAGTATAAAAGTAGTAGACAACAACCATCAACTGTGCTGCCAAGTGAGCAGAAAAGAGGACAAATGACAGCAAGACCAATGTACTTAAATCTGCAAATATGCCTAGTGTGCTTGTAAACCCTGATTATTCAATGGCCATAGCTTTTCTACCACCTTCCTAATCCTTAGCTCTCATTCCTGCCTCCACTTATACCTATGCTTAAACTAATGCTTTGCTCTAAACAATGATTAGCACTGGTGGTTAGGTGAACAATCTCTCTCACACAAACACTAACTACAGTCTGTAAATGAAACATGATGCCTAGAGTCCAAGTCATGAAAAAAAACATGTAAAGAAAATTTTACAATGCCTAGAGTCCTAGCCAGTGAAACCTTTTTGTTGAGGAATCATATTATCATAATGTAACTATGACAGAGAAGAAGATACGATGCAAAATAAAAAAAAGGAGAAAATTTAACATTTAGTCTTAGGTTAGATAATTGAGACATAAAACTTGCAAACCTTTTCAGAGATCCAGCTATCTCCTAAAGTACATCCACTGTGATTCATTAAAATTATGTTTCAACAAATGGCCTATAAAGAAGTTTTCTGGGACGTTTGGTTCATAATTAATTAAGGGTACTTAGCAAGAATTAGCACAACCGAATAAATGAAGAAGAAAAGCCCTTTTTTTTGTACAATCTGGATATTTATCTCCTAATAGTTCGCACTTTTAAGTTCACTTTACCGTTTAGTTCCCAACGTTCAGAAATCACAACAAACACTCACAAAATTCCTGCAAAAATCCAATTTTTGGACACAACGGTAACAAATCATAGCAACAAAAGTAAATCACTCCGAAAAAAAAATATAACTCCTCCGAAAATTTCTTGACTGACAATCTGACTCCCCCATTAGTAATTTCTGGCTTGCTTTGCCCCCCTTTAAAAAGAAACAGTAAAAAGGTGAAAGTAACAAAGTAAATAATTTCTGAACACAACAATCCCCACACTGCCACATATCACGGCTCCACATTACTGTTCATGTTCTTTGCAAAATTATTCCTCCCAAGAAAAAAAATGTAGCTGAATCGCTTTAATCTTTGTCCTATTACTCTACTTTTCCTAATAAAAATAGAAACAAATAAACAATTAATACCCTCCCTCATCACTGCACTAACCCCACACCCCCTCTCTCTCTCTCTCCTTCCTTCTTCCCCACACTGATGCAACTCCATTGCTCCCCATCTTCTCCTTAATCATTGCTTTGCTCTGCCACAGGAGAGAGCTCACTCTCACTCTCACACTCTCTTGGGGTGTTGTGTTGCAAAAAGAAAAGGAGAGAAGAAATTGAGAATTTTTTTTCTTGGATAGTGTTTAATGTGTTGTTGTGAATGATGATGGCATAGGGGTTGTTTTGGGATGAGGGGTGGTAATAGCTGGATCTCTCTTTCTTGGGTTTGGAGCTGCACTTCAGGGAGGAAAGATCCAACCCCAGATGTCATCCTGCCTCCTCCTCACTCCTCTTCTTCTCCTGTGAAGGTATGAACATCTCGTTGATTTGGGGCAAAATGCCGCAAGATTCAGGCGAATGGTGTTGTGAGATGTGATTGTGCTTGCCTAGGGGTGAAAAAGAATATGGGATTTTTATACATTGTGGGGGGGAAGATTTCGCTGTTTTTGATTTACCTTTGATTTCTTTCCAAATAATTCGGTATCTGTATTCTGGCTTTGATTTTTGGTCACTGTTGAAAGCTCTCCTGGTGGCCTTCTTGGATGCCAAGATTCTTGCCTTTTTCTGCCGCTTTAGGAAAGAAAATGCGACGATTTCTCCCTTTTCTTGGCAATTTCTGGGACCCAATTAGTACCCATTTTAGCCGCGTAGATGGGGTGCAGATGAAGCTTCATTTTAGGAAACTGTTTTAATTTCTTGTTTCCTCTAATATTTCTTTCTCATCATCACAGTCTTGCCCCTTAAAAATGGCAGCAGATGGCACTGCTTCTTGGTATGGTTCCTGGTTCATTTGTCCCAAAAAATTTTCCCTTCTAATACTCTACTCTCTGTGATTCCTGTTTCTGCGGTTTTTCTGATCAGCATCAGTTCATAAAAAAAAAAGAGCTGCGATTTGGGAGCAGGTGTGGATTTCTTGCTTCATTTTACTTTTTTTTTTGTGGGTGATTTGAGGCATTGAGGGTTAGTTGGCTGAGTCTTTATTGTGTTTGTTGGGTTTTCTTTTCACTGCTCTCCGTTTAATCTACCATTTTTCCATGGAAGAATACTCCATTTTTAAGGAATTTTTCTTTGCTTCTGTGTGGGAAATGGGATGTTCTAACCTTTCTTGAGGTTACGTTTCTGATTCTCTTCTCCTTCTTCGGGAAGTCTGTTCTTTTTTTTTTCCGTCCCTTCCTTACTTTTCTTTTCTGGCAGTATCTGATAAATTTCTCATCTAGTTTTGCCTTGTTCATATTTTTTTGGGCATTGTTTTGATTAACAAGTCAGTCTCCAGTCGCTGCTGAAATTAGGGATTTTGGGTTGTTCATAGTCTGGTTTTTCTGATCTTGGAAACATTCTGCAGATTGGGTATTCCATTTAATTTTTTATGCTTCTGGTTCATCATTGCTTCTTATCAAAACCTTATCTCCGGAATTCTTAATTAATTCGGAAAAATTGCTGCTAATTTCAGAATGACAACAAGTAGACGGTTTCAGGTTGAGGCGCGTTTTTTTTTTTGGGGAAACAATTCATTGCATTAATATGTTGCTAATCTGAACATTTTACTGTTGTGTACTTCTAAAAGTGTTCCTTCCATTGCAACTTTGATCTATAAAACCTACTTGGTTTTGAAGGGTGTTCTAGAAAAAGGTGGAATAGAACTTGTCATGGTCTGATGGTCCTCTGATCCATCTTGTTGTTCAATTTTATTTTTATTTCTAACACCTAGTGCTTAGCTTGCATATGGGAAAGGAAATTTTCTGCATAAGGTGCTAATCTTGGAGGTTTCTAATGCTTTGCAGGTAGTTTGCCGGAATTAGATTTTCATGTAGGTTGATATCCCGTTGCTTTGGTCACCATTGGCTTTGAAGCCATAAAAGTGTTCAGAATCAAAGGGGTGCTGTTCTCTTGTCTTGATTGGATCTGATGGAGATGATGTCGCCAACGAATCCGATGCGCAAGTACTCGTGGTGGTGGGATAGTCATATAAGCCCAAAGAACTCGAAATGGCTTCAAGAAAATCTCACAGGTAAACTTTATTTTGGTCATTTTAATTTTATTAGTTTCTTCTTATTTAGTCTTTGGATATAATTAGCATTATGCATCAATATCTAGCTACAACATTAGTCTTCTATACCAGTTTGTTCATGCAGTAGTTTTGTCCTAAAGTCACAAAACCTAACCATGTTGTCTATTGTTTCGGGTGGCATATCGGCATATTTGTTGAATCTACATATCAGTTATGAAATTGTCTAAGGCTGCACATATCTGGTTGGATATAGATGCCGGGTAAAAAAGTTCCCTTCTCTAAAAAAAGTTATGAAATTGTCTAGACAGTGTGCTGGTTATTTTTTCTAGGATGTAAGCCTGAGATTGAAAGGCTTTAATGCTAAAGCAAAGATATATCTGACTATCTGTAAAAATCTCTGCCTGTCACAGTGTTCATAAGAAAGAACCCATCCCTCATGTCTCTTGTGGAAGATCAGCAGATTTTGAGGAAAAACACTTGAATAAGTTGAAACTGGAATATCTGGAATATAAGATAGTAAGATACCCAAATGGACAGTTGTTGGGATTGTTCCAAATCTCCTCATGTGTGAAATATATTATGCTCTCTGGAGCTTTAATCGCTTGTTGGGCATGCTGGTTTTAGAATGGACTTGATTTAGTAATGAATCAGTTAAACAGAAACTGCACTAGAGATGTTATCAGATAAGAACTCATGATTTTAAAAACTTGGGCAGCGCCACATATTAGCTACTACTTGTCACTTGTCAGATGTTGATCATTAGAAATATTTAGGAAATCAAACTCTTGTATGTTTTGAACTTCAAGATTATAACATGGCCCAAGTTTTATAGATTATTATTGTCTGTTTGATATGGTCTCAGTTAGTAGCAGCAAATATTTGTTTTTGTCAAATACTCAAGTTGCACAATGTTCCACATCTCCTTTGCAAAATTTCTTGAAGTCTGATCTGAAATGGCATTTTAACCAATGCTTAAATACACAGATATGGATAGCAAAATCAAGCGTATGATCAAGATAATCGATGAGGATGCTGACTCGTTTGCAAGAAGAGCAGAAATGTACTACAGAAGGCGTCCAGAGTTGATGTCTTTGCTGGAGGAGTTATACCGTGCTTACCGAGCTTTAGCTGAAAGACATGATCATGCTGCTGGGGAGCTCCGAAGCGCCCAGCGGAAAATGGCGGAAGCATTTCCTGATGAGTTTCAGTTAGACTTGGATGATGATTTGCCAGCTGAAACCTTGTCTACAGAAACTGAGGCTGATAGTCGTGACATGACACCATTTTTCCTCTCTTTCATAAATTCTGGTGATTCAAAAAAGCGTGCCAAAGGTATGTTGTAGTGCTGTACAAATCCACTTCCTGAAGTTATACAGTAATCCTAACGGAAATCAAATTATACTAACATGCTAACATTGCAGATGACCAGGAACATGAGAAGCTGCAGAAAGAAATATCGAGCTTGTCGCAGGAAAACCAAGAACTCAAGAAGAAGATCTCTTCAGTGTTAGAAAATAGCGACAGGGCCGAATCTGAAGTTGCTTCCCTCAAGGAGGCCCTTGCACAACAAGAAGCCGAGAAGGAAGCTGCCTTTTCACAATGCCAACAATCCAGTGATCGATTACAGGCCCTCAAGTCTGAAATACTGCAAACCCAGGAGGAGTTCAAGAGATTGAAGGAGGAGATGCAAAATGGACTGGAGAATTTGAGCACCGCAGAGGAACGCTGCCTTCTTCTTGAAAGAGCTAACCAGAATTTGTATTCGGAGCTAGATAAGCTGAAGAATGACTCAAAAGAGAGGCATGGAGAACTCAATGAGAAGCACGTTGAGTTGGAAAAGCTTAGCATATCTATACAAGAAGAGCAACTCAAGAGCATGCAAGCCGAAATGACACGGCTATCACTGGAGAAGCAACTGGCACAAGCCAAGGAGAAGCTAAGAATCTTGACTCTTGAAAAGAATGGTGAAGCAAGTAAGTTTAATGACATTGAAGCAAGCAAAGTTAGACTTCAAAATGATCTGGACAAGATTCGCGAAGAGAACCGTAAGCTGGAGGAGCAAAACAACTCTTCGATCTCAGCAATAATTCGTCTACAGGATGAAGTAATTTCCTTGAAGAATGCCCAGCGGCTACTTGAGGAAGAGGTGTCTCGGCATGTGGAGGAAAAGAAGGTGCTTCAGTATGAGCTTTCCCAGCTCAAGGATGACAAGGGTGACTCCGAGAGGAAACATTTTTCGATCAAGGAACAAATACAGGTGGTGAATTTCAATGTGGAATCCCTCCAAGCACTTGCGCAAGAGGTAAGAGATGGGAATGTTGAGCTTAAAGAGACCATCAAGCATCACGAGGGTGTGAAAGCCCTGTATGTTGATAATCTGATGCAGCTCGAGAGGACGTTGGAGAGAAATGCTCACTTAGAGAGGTCTTTGTCAGCTGCAACCACTGAGGTTGAAGAATTGCGAGAGAAGAAGGTTGCATTGGAAGAATCATGCAAGCACCTCAATTCCAAGATTAATGGCTTCCAATCTGAGCGGTCCATGTTCATTGCACGGATCGAGGGCATTTCTCATACAATGGAGAAGCTATCAGAGAAAAACGTATTCCTGGAAAATTTGTTATCTGAAAACAATACCGAGCTTGAGATCCTCAGAAGGAAGCTGAATGACTCGGAAGAGTCCACACATGCACTACTTAATCAGAATTCTGTACTTCGATCTGAAAAGAGAACCCTTGTGCGTGAGGTATTAGCCTAGCATCTCTACTACTTCAATTATTTTTGTCATAATTTAATATGAACTGATCCTAGAAATGCTTCCATGTTGCCACAGGTGGATAGCATGAATGGTGCCCTACTCAATCTGGAGGCCCAGTTCACGGAGTTAGAAGGACACCACCTGGATCTTCAGCAGGAGAAAAACAAGGCAAGCAGTGAAGTGATCATGCTACAGGAGATGTTAAGGCTTGAGAGAGAGGCGCACAAAGAACTGAACTACTCAGGCAAGACTCAGTTCAGTGCTGTACAGAAGCAGTTAAGCTTCCTGCTCGAAGAAGGCCGTCGTAGGGAGAACCAGCTTCAAGATGAGGAGCATAAGATTGTTGAAGCTCAGATGGAGATTTTCGTCTTGCAGAAGTGCTTAGGTGACATGGCAGAGGCAAATTCTGATGTCTCAGGGCAACTGCAGAAGCAGAAAGAGCTATGCGAAATCCAGGAGGAGAAATTAACCTTTTTGACAGAAAACAACCAGAGGTTAACGGAAGGAATTGGTTCTGTGATGGAAGAACTACATTTGGATGATAAATATGGATCATTGGATCTAATGAAGCTTGATGTAATCGTGCAGCTCATCTTGCATGAGATCAAGTGCTTGCTGAATACTATTTCTGATGCTCAGGACGTGAAGCAAAACCAGATCCTCGAGAAGTCTCTTGTCGTCACGCTTTTGGAGCACTTTGGACGCGAGGTGGCTGATCTAAGGTCAGAGAGGAGTGTTCTGAGGCAAGAGTGGCAGGCGAAGAGCGAAGAGCTTCTGCAGCTGCAAAATGAAAGGCACGACCTCATGAAGATCAGCTGCGAGTTACGGAAGGAGATGGAGGCTCGTAACCGTAGGGTTGAGGAGATGAAAGGTGAGGCAAAATTCTTGGTTCGACAACTCTCAGAGCTGCAAGAGTCGCGGCAGTCATTGCAAGCTGAAGTCATCAAGCTGATTGAAGAGAACTCCTCACTGTCAGGCAAACTTTATGACTCCAGGGAGAAAGAGAAGACGGCCAACGATGATTTCAATACTCTCCTTGGTGAAGCAATCAGTACAGACATCCTCGGTGTCGTTTTCAAAAGTCTTCATGATGAGAGGACATCTCAGCTGCAGTCTTTGCATGAAGATTTCGGGTCTCTCCATGCAGCAGGCAATGAGCTTTACCAGGAGATCAAGCTGATGAACAAGAAGCTTGGAGACCTGCAACTCGAGAACAACTATCTCGAGAAGGAACTCAGTAAAACCATGAGCATCTGTGACAGCTCTGGTTCAGAAATCGGCGCTGGGAGAAGGCGTACTATGCGAAGAGACACAAAGCTATTGAAATCTGGCAGGAAGAGCCAGCAAGAGAGCACGGTGAACATCGAACAGCGCAAAGAGATCGACCACGCTGGCCTTGAGAAATCGAATGAGTTGTTGAGGGAGAAGCTCCACAAGCTGCAGAGCGAGGTGCAGGCACTCAGAAGCAAAGAACAGCCGGTGATCGATGTCAAGTCCTGCGATGCCGAGATCACAAAACTGCTTACCAACATGCAGATGGCCACTGCCAACGCGGCTCTCTTCAAGGAGAAGGTGCTTGAGCTCATCGCGTCGTGCGAGAGCTTCGAGATAAGCGAGATGGTGCAGAAGGAGGTCCTGAAGGAGGAGATCACCCGGAGGAACTCCTACGTGAATGCGCTCAAGGACAAGCTCAACGCCGTCGAGATCGAGAACAGTAGGCTGAAGGTTGATCTCAATGGTGACTTCACACTGTTGGGAGCATTGCAAACTGAAGTCAGTGCCCTGGAGAAGCAAACCATGTCACTGGCCAAAGATTGCTTACCATCAAATAAGCTCAGGATGGAGGTATACATTTACCCTTGCATTCTCTGCATTTCTGTTCGTGTTGCAGCACTCTCTGCATATCTGTTCCATTTTAGTTGCACAAAATTTTTCTATACCAAATTTCCACCTGTTAACTAAACATGAACAGAAATTAGCTAATGTAGAGATAAACCAAAAATTAGCTAACGTAGAGATAATTACCAAGCCTGTAGCAACTACCCTACATTTCTGTTCTTGTTGAAGTATTATGATAGTTTTACTAATTTTCTTCGCAAAACTATGCTTGCTCCTCAAAAGAAAGATGTTTTCCCTATGCTTAAACTTGAACAAACAAATGCAGTACCTTTATGAAGATCATGTTTGAAGGATCTGATATCTGTACTTGAAAAACTGAACACTGTAATATTTGTATTTGCGCCATTTTGTCATACCACTAAAACTGTTCAGTTTTCCTGAAACATACAAATCCCTATGCTGAACTCCAATGTTTTCCATGAAAATCTTGTTTGAAGGATCTGAATTGCACTACCTGAAGATCTTTTCTTGCACATAGAAGACCAGTATTTGCATCTAGTATCATTATGAATTCAAATCATTTTGTCATACCACTGAAACTTTTCTTCTGCTCCTCCTTAATTGAAGACTTTTCGAAAAAAAAGAAACACAAAAAAGAACATTTTCAGTCTTAATCATGGGACACTCATTGTCACTTGCTGCAGGAATTCTCGGTGTCACCGCAGCTGTCCAAGATCGCGGTGAAGCCCATCCATGGTGAGCCGAACGCGACGAAGATGGTGAAGGACATGGAGCTGGAGAAGCTGCACGGGACGATCAAGGCGCTCCAGAAGGTGGTCACCGACACCGGCGTCGTCCTCGAGCAGGAGCGCCTCGACTTCAACGCCAACCTCCTCGACGCCCGCCGCCAGATCGACCTCCTCCGCCTCCGCGACGACATGGCCGCCGCCGTCGACGACAGCGACGCCGCCAGCGACCCAGCCGCCGCGGCCTACGACCGCCGCTTGCTCAAGGACATCCAGCTCGACCTCGTCCAGACCACAACTCCGACCAACCGGAGCCGAGCTGCCACCGCCACCGCCACCGCCGCGGCGTCATCGCAGCGTCACCACCGGAGGAGGAACGGCGGCTCGACGGAGGCGCCGCCGCTTGGGCTGTGGAGCGTGGTCAGAGCGAGCAGGCGGCGGCAGCAGGAGGAGGGTGGCGATGGCGATGACGACGATCTCCGGCCGCCGCAGAGCGAGGCGTCGGCGGAGAGGGGTCGGAGGTCGTGCTCGTCGGAGGTGAGCCAGCTCACGGTGGTAAAGGATCTTAGCGTGGACAAGCAGGAGCTCCTCCTCCCGCCGCGGCCGCCACCACCCGCCATGGCGGAGGCGCCACACAGGGAGTGGAAGAAGAAGGTGATCGAGCGGCTGACGGCCGACGCGCAGCGGCTGGTCGACCTGCAGTCGATCGTTGGCGAGCTCCGGGCGAGCGCGGAGGCGGCGCCCGAGCTCGACGACGTCACCGCACAGATGGTCGACGCCGAGTCCGCCGTGGCGCAGCTCATCGACACCAACGGGAAGCTCCTCCGCAAGGCCGAGGAGTTCACCTCCGCCGACGCCGCCGGCGGCGCCGCCGGCGACGACCTCCGCAGCCGCAGCCAGCGCAAGATCCTCGAGCGTGTCCGCAAGATGTCGGAGAAGATCGCGCGGCTCGAGCAGGAGACGCAGCGCTTCCAGCACGCGCTGCTCCGCCACGAGGAGGAGCGCGCCACCCGCCGCGCCGCCGCCGCCGCGGCGACGGCGGCGGCGAGCAGCGGCAAGTCGTCCGCCGCCGTGCAGCGGCGATCGTCGAGGGTGCAGCTGGTGGAGTACCTCTACGGGCGCCGGCGCGACAGCCGCCGGCAGCGGCGCGGGCCGTCGTGCTGCATGAGAGCCAAGGCCATCGACGACTAACTCTAATCAAGAATCTCCATGGATGGATGGACAAAGCAAGAAGCGTTTAATTTTTATTTACTACTTCGTTTTAATTTCATTTTACCCAGTTTTAATTAATCAAAAGTGAAAAACTCGTAATCATTTTAATGTCGTGGGGGTGTAGGGTAAATAATCTCGTGGACTAATCCTAGTTTCGTGCTCTTAATCATATATATATCATGAACTTCGATTAAGCATCGTTGTAAATGGTTAATTAATTAGTAATTTTTCCTCCTCGTTATTGTAAATTAATTTTCTGTTGATTCGATATGTGATGCTCCATGTTGGTTTTTGTCGGTGGATGTCTCTGCGTCTGCTTGGCCGCCGGCGATCCTCCGACGTGTCAGAACGCCGGTGATGCGCGGCGGATTGCGTCCAGGGGCTCAGGGGCAGAATTCGAATTGTTGAAGGGGCTATATTGCAAAATCTCCTCGATCTTCGGGGTTCGGAGATTTTATCTAGGGGCTATATAGCAAAAATCGCATGTTCGATCTACGCCGCAAACAGGTGTCTTTTTTGCACTAAAACCCCTGTTAGTTATGAATTAGGATAAACTACCAATGCCATCGATTTTTTTCATCAGTAAATTTCAAAAAACCCACATTTAGTAGGGTTAAAGTTACGTAAAACTACCGGTAATAAGGCTTGTGGCATGTAACCACATGTGTTTTGGATCCAAATGTTTCATAAAATCCCACTTCAAATTAAATTTCAATGATTTTAGCATATCAGAAACAATGTTTTTTAAAGCAGTGAAGAGTTAAACAAACAACTTTAATCACCAGTAGTAAAGGTTTCATATACATTCTACGGAGTACGTTTTAAAATTCTAAATAAATATTTGCCAGAATACATATAGGGGTGAGGTTTTGTAAAACTTTAGAATCACAATAGTTAGGGATATGTGTCGTTGGTCATAACCCCTGGGGTTTTATGCAACTTCAACTTCGCTGAAATTTGCTCTTTTTTTGGTTAAAGCCGCTGGTTAGAACTTGTTGGGCTGCAGCTAGTTGGCCCACCAACGTAATACGCCTCAATGGGCCCATCTACGTATGGGCCGCAAATCGGTCGAAACGGGATTCCGTGGACCATAATGGGTTGGGCCGAGTGGAGTACTCCTCTAATTTACTGCACGGGATAAGTTTACTTTAGGTCCCTCTACTTGTTGACCAGTCTGATTTTCGTCCCTGCACCACAAAACCGGGTACGACCCATCCCCAACTTACGAAACCCATCCCCAACTTACGAAAACCGGGCAAACGAGGTCCCTCGGCGGTTTTGACAGCGGTTTTGCCTGACGTGGCGCCTACATGACTAATTTGACTCGGTCTTCATATGACGTGGCACTGACGTGGCGCTTACATGGTAATTCGATCCTGAAAAATAAGAAAACCTGTAAGACCCACATGTCAGTTTCACACACAAAATAGTAATTAAAAAAGTGGGACCCTTGTAGGCCCCACATGTCATCTCCCCCATCCTCTCTCTATCCTCTCTCTCCCCCTCTTCTCTATCCCTTCTCTCTCTCCGGCCGATGGAGCGGGGCGAGCGGCGGCCGGCAGAAGCGGGCGACGGGAGGGGCGGGGCAGCGAGCGAGACACCGACGGGGAGAGCTCGAGGTCAACCCGAAGACCAGCCTCCAGCCACGCACGCGCCGCGCAACGGGGTCCGACGCCAGTAGCGCCGCCGCCGCCGACACGATGGGAGTGCTCCGGGCAGCGGTGCCCCTACAGCCGGAGGCCGACCTCGTCCTGGGTACCGGCGGCGGCGAACGGGGGCAGGTGGGGCTCGTCCTCGTCGATAGCTCCAACGGGTTCTGCACCTCGGCACCGGGAACCTCGTGAGCTACCTTCCCCACGCCTCTCCCTCTTTTCTCCTAGAGTCCTAGTCCTCCTTCGCCCGTGCCTTACCGCGCGCGACGAGGATTGATGGCTGGCGTTGGAACGCATGGTGGTTGGGCTGCTCGTCAGCCACTCCAGAGCTGTAAATGGTAGAGATCAAATTTTGTCAGGCACCAAAAGAGGACCATTCTCATGTCAGCGTGGGCAAAATCGTCAATTGATCACTTCAGCCCATAACGAAAGAAGCAGATATGTAAGCTAAACATATCCAGTTGAGGCGGTAAGCGGAGGTGGATGTCCGCCGGCGAGAAGGGAAGGGAAGCTTGCGGATTCGGAGCCGACGCCTGCTGCCGCAGCAGCAGCAGCGCCGCCAGATCTGCGCTCCCCTTCTTCCGTGGTCGCGTCGCCGCCACCGCTGCATGCCCAGGACGCGCGCCGGCGCCGTCGGCCGCCCCGGGAAGGCGCCTCGTCGCGCGCTGCGCCGCCGGCGACGGCCATTGTCTCATCGTCGCCCGTGGCCTGCCGACTCCCCCCCACCCACCCAGCGCTCCTGCCGCCGTATCGCCGACTGCCAAAGATGCCAGGAGAGAGGAGGAAGAAGAGGAAACCTCCTCCCACGCAGCGCTCTCGCTACGCCGCCCGCCTCTCGCCGCCCGTCGTCGCTCCGCCCACCGCCTGCTGCCCCGCCGCTTCCACCCGCCGCCCCTCTGGTCCACACTCCGCCCGCTGCCGCTCGCCTTATCCTATACCTGGCCAAATGGGCCGTGCCAAGCCGGGCCGGCCCGAGCACGGCAGTACTGTAGCCGGCCCAGGGCCGGCACGGCACGCCAGCCTGTGGGCCGTGCCAGCACGGCCCGTTATCCCGTGCCGTGTTTGGGCCGACGCCTCAGCCCGTAGGCCGGCACGGCACGGCACGTTTGCTCTAGCGTGCCGGCACGGCACGGCCCAGGCATGGCACGGCCCATCGGCCCATTTATTTTTCCTACGATTTTCTAATTTTTTCCATATATTTCTCATATTTTTTATTTTTTGCCACATTTTATCCTATTTGTACCCATATATTTTATGATATATTTCCTAAATTTTCCTCACATTTATCCTATATTTATAATGTTTTCCTTTATATTATGTTTTTTCTGCCTTTTTTCTTTTTTCCCCTCAAATTTCAATTTTTATGGGCCACATGTACCAGTGGGCCCGCTACCAGCACACGGTCCGCTACAGTAGCCGTGCCGGCCCGGCACGGCCCAGCACCTCCTTGGGCCGAGGCCTTGGCACGTGGGCCGGCACGGCACGGCCCGCTACAGGAGCCGTGCCCTAGTGAGCCGTGCCGTCAGTGTGTCGTGCTGTGCTGGGGCGGGCCGCCTGTTTGGCCTGCTATACCTTCTCCTCACCATGTAGATGAGAGAGAGAGGGGGATAGATAGAGGAGGGAGGCTGACATGTGGGACCACATGGGTCCCACCTTTTTTCTATTATTTTTGTGTAGCTGACATGTGGGTCCCACGATTTTTTATTATTTTTCCGGGATCCAATTCTTACGTAAGCGCCACGTCAATGTCACATGGGACGAGGACCTAGTCAAAGGGAGCCACGTAGGCGCCACGTCATCAAAAACCGGGTACAATACTGCTGAGGGACCTTTTCTGCACGGTTTCGTAAGTTGAGGGATGAGTTGTATCCGGTTTTGCGACCAAGGGACGAAAATCGGACTGGGCGACAAATAAAGGGACCCAAAGTGAACTTATTCCTACTGCACGTGCTCGTCTCGCCCGAGCAGAAGAGTCAAGAGAAAAAAAAAAGAAAAAAAAAAGGAGAGGTGAGGTGGCACGCGTGAGAGTGAGGAGCTCGCGAACTCCAAAACCCTAACCCTCTCGGAGCTTCACATCGGCGGCGGCGGCGGCGATGGCGGAGGGTGGCGGCGGAGGAGGAGGGTCGGCGGCGTCGGCGGCGCTGAAGGATCAGGGGAACGAGCAGTTCAAGGCGGGGAACTACCTCAAGGCCGCCGCGCTCTACACCCAGGCCATCAAGCTCGACCCCGACAACCCCACCCTCTATAGGTATCCCCTCCTCCTCCTCCTCCCCGATCCATCCTCGCGTCTCGCGTAGCCCTAGCCGATCTCCCGCGTCAGCGCGCGCGTGTGTCGCCGTTTCTCCTCTTCGCGTTGAGAAGACTCGAGGTCGCCGGAGACGGAGGCGTGTGCGTTTGTTTGGTTGGATGCGTGCGTTATGTGGAATGGTGCCCCTGGGATCGAGTGGATACATTACAGAAACAACAACTATGTTGCGCTTGATCATTTTCCTTGGCTTAAAGTTAAAATGCTACTACTGTTGATGCAGGTTAATATGCTGTAGTAATGTCCTGATATTTGGTTCGAGAATTGCGAACCCACGGTGATGATTTTTCAGTTAGTTTTAGGCTTTCAAAGGATATGATGCTGTGTAGTTTCCGAGCATTAGAGTTTTAGTGATTGCTATTGCCTTTTGGCATAACTATGTAAGCAGCTCAGCCTTTTGTTGTGTTTTCTTAAACCCTGTCCGGAGCTAGGCTTATGTTTCATAAAGATCCAGTGTTATATATGGAACTAAGTTATTGTGAGTTTGTGACGTAACTACGTAAGGCTCTGATGCTACAATGTTACTTGTTTATTGGCGTGTCTAAAAATGATGAGTTGCAGAAGGTAAACATCTTGTTTCATAACTGCACGTAATGTGTTAAACGCACAAACAGACAAAATATCTGTTCCAAGTGAAACCATTCTTCATTGGCTGAAGAAGAATTACTTCTGGATGCAATTAATTTTCTTAAAAAGTAGATACACCCTGCATGTCCAATACTGTCTGCTCCAACCAAAAATAGTAAAGACAATGTTTTTTTATTCCTTTTCCTTTTCTATTGGTACTTGAGAGGTCATACATCTGACGCCAATTACATCATAAGTTCTGAATTGCATCAAAAGATTCCTTGCCCGATGTAACTCAACTAAGCAACACTTTTACACATATTCACAAGAGATACTAGATAAATTGGTCGTATTGATCTGTTCTCTTGTTCCCAATAGGAGCTTGCTGCTATCTTAGTTGGTTTGAGATGCACTGTCTATATATATGGAAACAAATCCAGAGGAGTGTTTGGCTTTGGATCACCAATATTTGGAATTCACATGTCCAGTTACAGTTAGGATAACAAATATGTGGAGTTGATGATGTTCATTCTATATGAACCCATACTCTGAGACAGCACTTTCTATTTGTGAATTCTTTTGTAAATGCTATTGAGTGCTTCTGATTATGCTTTTTTTTATTTAAATAATTGCCAGCAATCGGGCTGCTGCATTTCTCCATCTAGTTAAGCTTAATAAGGCACTCGCTGATGCTGATACGACAATAAAACTCAAGCCACAATGGGAAAAGGTATATTCATATCATATCACTCTGATTTATCTGTTGCAATTTATTTTTCCATCATATTTCAGCTTTTCACTGGCTGCCTTCTTTGGAACTGTAGGGTCATTTCAGGAAAGGGTGTGTTTTAGAGTCGATGGAACACTATGAGGAGGTGAGAGTAAAGGACAATTCCTTGCTTTTTCTCAACAGGGAGAAGGATAATTATCTCTTTTTTATTTTCTGTTATGTAAGCTTTAGCCAAGCCTTCCGTATTTGGCAAGCTGAGAAAATTGTGGTAAGAAATACCCTAGTTTGGAAGTGCACATATCACTTGCAATTATCAAAAGTAAAGTTCTGAAATCAGTTGATGCTGAATACATTATAGTGCAATTGCATTAAGGGAAACCTTAAATCTGTAAGATAAATTTGAATTTTATTCATTTTACCATGTTATATCATAACATTGGTCTTTACAATTGAACAAAGTTTTTCCTTCAATCATGTTAACATGTGTTCATGTCTATTCGGGGGTTTTATTTTTGTGCTTGAGCAGTGGCCCTCTTGCTGCTATTTTCATATGGCCACATGCAAAGATTGGATGTTTGGCTGAAGTACTTAAACTATTCATCAACTTCTCTTTCATGAGATCAAACTCTTAAAATATCAGTAGCATTGATTGTACATTATCAAGCTATTCAAAATATTAGCATTGATTCTGTATTAGCTATTTTCTGGTGCAGGCAATATCTTCTTTTCAGATAGCTTTGCAACACAATCCACAAAATACAGAAGTTTCAAGAAAAATTAAGAGGCTTACTCAGTTGGCAAGGGAAAAGAAGCGGGCTCTTGATGTGGAGAACATGCGTTCTAATGTTGATGTTGCAAAGAACTTGGATTCACTGAAAACCGAGCTGGTGGGTAGTCTTACATGCTTTCTCATTCCATTTTAAGCTACATCATATTCTCCCAAATGTCATTGCTACCGCATTTACTACCGACAGATCTTTCCTTTTTCTTTCAAGATCGTACATTGCATATTTTAGCATGCTAAGGTACACACATTTAATGAAGGGAAAGTCTTTCTGAAATTTAAATGAGCAACAGATACACCTTGCATAATGTCAAGTGTTTAATATCCAATTTTCTTCCTACCAGTTCGAATTTTACAGAAATGGAAAACAAAAGGACTTCCTATTGTATAAAGGAATATGTTTTGTTGTTTATTTAACTTGGATGCATTTCCATTTCAGGCTGGAAAATATGGAGATGCCGAACTGGGGCAAAGTATCTTCACTTTTGTTGTTAATGTGATTGAATCAGCTATAAAGGTCTGGCATGACACCGGAAAAGTAGATGCAAGAGTTAATTTTCTTCTTGATGACCAGAAGACTGATACTGAAAAACATGCCCCAGTGGTTAACATTGACAAGGTACTATTCTGCTACAGGCTGCTCATTTCGGCTGTTCGACATAAGCTTAACAATTCATAAATAGGCAGACATCTTGAAATTTATAATAGTCAATTTCTTTAACAGAATTAGGATCTAGTTATTTTTTACATATGTAAATCTTCAATTTTCTGTTACGGCTTCTATTCTGAATCCATGACATTGTCTCCTATTAACACCTATCTGGTTTCTTTTTTTACTAGGCCTTTGACTCACCCCACACTCACAGCAGTTGCTTCACATTTTTGCGGCAATATTCCGAGGAGTCTTTCTCAAAGGCTGCTTGTATGGTAGCACCTAAGAGCGCCATCTCGTACCCTCAGGTCAAATCACCCTCTCCCCTCTTTCATGTGTCACCATGCCCTGTATGATTTGTGCCTATCATTTTCTGATGTTGTGTTGCTGCATGCTTGGCTCTAATATATTTTCTTTTTGTTCATGTTAAATCAGCGCATAAGATTTCCTTTTTTGGTGCTAGAATGAAAATGATAGACTAACAATGATCTTGTTATATACAGGTCTGGAAAGGACAGGGATCAAGAAAATGGAAGCTTGACCAGAGTGATGGTTTCTTTGTGCAATTTGAGTCACCAATTCTGCGGAAGATATGGTTTGTCCCTAGCACAACTGAAAAGGGACGAGTATTATGCAGGTACTTATCCCTTTCTTCATGAGACAAAATTATTATATCTGCATTTCCATATTTTACTTTGAGGAATTCAATTTCTCAAGGAATTAGTAGTAAACATAAATAGAAAACCTTTGCATTGTGCTGGCATGTTTCTCCTGCTATGAATTTTGTTAGGATATAATTGATCTATGTTCCAGCTTTTTGCGCCATCTTGTGGTGCTCAGCACTTTTTGTGACCTATGTTGTACCTGTTGTACAGCTATAAACTTTGCACCATTCATTCATGACTTAGGGTTTGCTTTCCCGACCTGTTAGATAACCATCAATGTCTATTCCCTCCTCTTGTGGGTGTCTCCAGCTTTTATATAGTGTACTATATCTCTTCTTTAATATTTCTGCAGGAGTCCTGAGCTCCTGGACATTAGCATCCACGAAGTGCTTCCCCGTATATTCAAAGAAACGGCTTGAATAAACAACAAATGGACAGTGAATGGCTCCCAAATTCTTCCCCTGTTGTGGTCATATTCTTTCCTAGCTTACAGTTGCAAAGGGGATATTTTTCATAGCGTGGTGAGAGCTTAGATTTGCATGCCAGATTTTGTAAGCTGTTGATCTGTATTGTACACCGAGGCACACAAATTTTGCTGATCTGGTTTTTTAATTATATATGCCTTAAGTGGTGCAATTTCCATTGTATACAAGCTTTTGTCTGGGTTTGTGAAATGCAGATTTTGATTCCTCAAAATTTAGACACCATATTCTACATTCCTGTGATCAACTGTGACCACATCTTTTACCACTATTATGGAGCATAAGAAAATTGTGCTTGTATAGGTTGCACATAGTATTTTTTTTTAAAATGACCTGATGACTTCTGGCATCTGGAGTACATATGGACGATGAATTGATGGCGATGCCCTAGAAACTATGGCATGTGATGTATCACCATCAGTAGCTCTGCAGTCTGACAAATGTGATGTACAATTGTACGAAGTACACAGCTATGCCTGCATCGGTTGAGAACAGATACAATTAATTCGTGACTCATAGCATCTCCATTCCCATCTTTTTTTCCCCAACTTTATCCGATCACATTTTCTCAACCAACTAAAATACAGTACAAAAGCACCGTACTGTACGTGCATACCAACAAAACAAGGAGATAAGTTGCAGGTACTACATCACATGAATCAAACAAAACAATGTTCAAAATCAGTTGGCTCCATTTCTGATCGGGAGGGAAGAGATTCATTTGTTTTATTAGAGAAGCCTACCCATAGAATTTCAATTGCTAGTATCTGCTTCATCCACTTTGGATGGCTAGCTACTAGTAACAATATTCATGCTTACTGCGTCTTTTATTGGTGCTCATTTTGCTAGCTACTAGCATCTATGATGTAGTATGCTCATTTTGCTTGTTTCAAGTCATGGGGATTGGGAGAAAAACTCGTTCTCCGCATGCGCACTCCCTGGTGGACTGCGAAATGGTACTCTCTCCGTCTCAAAATAAGTGTAGTTTTACACGGTTCATGTTCAATGTTTAACCGTTCGTCTTATTAGAAAAACTTTTACGATTAATATTGTTACTAGTACATGATAAAACATAAATAGCACTTTATGTATGGCTAATATTTTTAAAAAAATTTTATAAATTTTTCAAATAAAACGAACGATCAAATGTTGGACATGGATATCCACGGTTGCACTTTTTTTTGGGACGAAGATAGTATGTTTTTCTAAAGAAAATCATATTAATTTATTTTTAAATTTAAGATAATTAATACTTAACTAATTCCGTGCTGATGACTTATCTCATTTTACGTATTCGATCTTCTTCTATCTTCTCCTTAGACCAGATGTAGCAACACGTGTGTAGACTGTAGAGAGGGATGCGCATGCAAATGCAGCAGGTACAGCAGCATGAATGGCTCCGCCGCTCCGGCCGGTCGCCGTCGAGGCCGTCAGTTCCGGCGAGACTGGCGAAGGGGAGCAAGGAGCATGTGACCTTCATCTCCTTGTATTAATGGCCGTCACGTATGCCCCTGCATCTCTGCATGACGAAGCTGCTGCTTTCGCCGCAGTAATGGCGGAGATGGCTCCGTTTCAGTCTTCTCTCTTCAAACAGTACGTCAATCGCAATCGAAATTGCAATGGCGTATGCATCCCCTGAGTCTGACTCGATCCAGGCTTGCAATGGCATGCTTGCCAAAGGGTGTATAGTTTAGTAGTTGCAGTGACCTCAGTAGCATCTTAAGGTTTTGATTTTAAATCTTCATACGAGCGAAATTTTAGATTGGCATGTTCGTGGGACTAAGTTTCCAATTTAAATGGCTATATAAAAAAAAAATACAAGGCTTGTTTGCAGTTGCAGCAGTGCATTCCTTGACATTGCATGGCGCTGACATATATATATATATATGCTCTCTCCGTTTATAAATATGCATTTTTATGTTTGTTCAACCTGAATTAACGCTAAGAGAAAAAAAATCGGTGGCCTTCGATAAATGAGGGATCGATGGATGAGGTGAGAGGGTGATAAGTAGTAAAGATGGGAAGAAATTTTAATAAGAGGTAATTGTAGGGACAAGAGGTATTCTAGATTATTTATATTTGCGAACAAATTTTAGATGCTTCAAATGCCAATGTCGAGCGAAGATTGCAGGGTTGACAAAAATACATTTCTATCAGATGAAAGCTTCGCGCGTTGTGTTGTGAGTAGTAAACACGGTGGATTAATATCTAGTTTATGATAAGTAGTAAACACGGTGAATCAATATCTTCGCATGATACGCCAAGAAAGAGGTTGGAGAGAAACAGGTAAGCAAAAAGCGCGATGCATCGCTGAAAAACTTATTCAGACACATTCGGAGATTCAGAAGGGACGCATGACATCAACTCTATCCTCTATCCTTTTGGCTGCAGTTATTAAATTACGGCATGCATCGACATGGCGTATACGTGTTCTCGATCTGCTTTCTGTTTTTTTCTTTTCCCCTGATCTTTTCTTTTTTAACTTTCCTGGTTTCTTTTTTTTTCTTTTCCTGATTTCTGGATTGCTTCTTGGAATCGAGCTCCAGCCTGTATATTTCTTTGTTCTATCTAAAGGAATGGAGAAATGGATCAATGGGCCTGAGCTCCTTAACGTTGTGGTTTTCGCAAAAGTTTTTCATTTCTGAATTTCTTTTAAAAAGTTATAAATTTATTTTTAAAGTTTATATTATGTACTTAATTTATTCCTTTTTGCTCTTGAATAGAGATCGCTAAATCATTCCATCATTCTGTTATTTAACAATTTAGCTTTTTGGAAAAGAAATGTTGAGGTATATAGGGAGATAAAATTCTAAATATTTTGTTAAATGAATTAGCTAATTATTAATACACCCATCCTATAATATTACACCACAATTCAGGATTTGTTTTTTTTTAAAAAAAAGCTAGCTAGAGTGATATCTTGGACATAATTGAGATTCTAAGTCAACAGTAGTAGGAAGTTAACATCATGATCAGCACCCTTTTTTCTTCTTTGCAAGAAACAGAGACATTGTTATCCTTTTGAAGGTTTGTTTTTCTTCAGTGTACCGACCATATATCTTTTAGTTCTTGCTACTCAATTGCATGCTCACTGTTTTGCATTAGTGCTTTTGGAATCATGCATAGCGAAGCAACAGTGTTTAGAAGCTTGGGGTGGGACCCACATGCCAGTCACCTAGGCATGCTTCTTCTTCTTTTTTTTTCTTTTTTTTCTTTCTTTTTTTTTTTTTGCATCAAGGAGACTGTACGTTATCCCGTTTGCCAAACAAAGCGAAGGCAAAAAGGTTGATAGGAGATGCAGTCAAACTGTCAAACAAAAAGCTTGTGATGGAACTGCATGGCAATGGAATCAGGAATATTTCTGGCTCTTTTTAGAAGCAGATAAAGCAAAAGGGAAAAAAAGTTAGAGGCCTTATTTGTAACTGTACCCTCAATTTCAATGTAGTGGATCAATTAAATTTGGATAAAATCATTATTTGCCTCTACAATTAACCCGATCCCTTATTTTCCTCTCATTCTCTCAATGACATATGGATCTAGGACCCAATGTCAGTGACTCGTCATGAGTAAATAAATGATTGATCGTGTGTATTTTGCAGGGGCAAATAAGAAATTATCACAATCAAATTTTCACTGGGAACATCTACTTACTACCACTATGAAAAAACGTGTATTTCAAGAAGGGTGTAGATGCAAAATGCACGTATATAGGAGCATACCTTAAGAGCAAAACTAACAATCAATTGGATCAGACTCGAGTGAGTTGACATTCTGAATTTCTTTATTTTTGCTAGAGTGATATTTTTACATGCTAGGATTAGATCCAACTCAAAGTATAGTAATAGTAGGGGTTAAGTATGGGTCACTTTCTCATGCTGCCACATCTATCACATATCATTATTAGATGCATCTAATTCTACTTTTATATTCAATTTAATTGGCACATATATATAGACGCATTGGATTCCACTGTTCCCTCCATGTGAGACCCAGTTCGGTACCTGTCGGATTTTTAATTTTCATCTCGTGCACGTACACACGTTCAGTACATCACACGATATATACATATCTTAATAATACGGTTTTATTTGCTTTACTTGTGTTTCACAAATCGTATCAATAATTCATTTGAGTTTTTTCTTAAAACTTTTACTTAAAAAATATTACCCATAAATTTTTTTTGGGTTGTTTTATTTATTTTTTCACTATTTTTTTAAATAAGCTGTGTTATTAACATTTAAAACCAATGCTAAAAAATAAGCTATGATGAAATAACTATGAATCGAATCCAAAACTAACTTTTAAAATTCAAATTTTAACTTACGGCTGATAAGCTAATAAGCAAACATAAGGCAAAACTCTAGGTGAAATTTTCTATGTTTCAAACAGGCAATAAATCTGGAGGTGTTTATAGGGTTCAAATAATACAGAGAGAACCAAAATAGCAGAATAAATGGCTTACATAGGACACATTAAAGCAACTAAATTAGAGAAACAATAATGATGAGATTCTTGAATGCTATTCTTTGCTTCAGATAATTAAGCTTCATCCATGATTCCCACTAGTTATATCCCATACAATTTGGTAAGCATGAAAGTGTTTTGTTTAATTTGCCTATACTTTTGATGCATGGAAAAGGAGGGATGGGTACATTAGGTGCTTTCCTAGGTTGATGGTGACTTAACCAACCAAATGGACAGTGATTGTAAAATGCAATGCATGTACTAACTAAACATTGAGAGCAACTGATCAAAGAGCATAACAATTTCTGTTGCAATAAACATCAATGTGATCGATCTGCTTTACCAAGCAGCATTGCAGGCGTGTCAAAAGAAGATATATGGAATGGATGGAACATTGCTTTGCACAAAATGCTCTGGTGTCAGGCAGAGAGAAAGGAGCCATGGCATGCAGCCAAAAGCAGAGATCGCAGAAGCAGCACACATGAAAGAAAGAAAGCAAGAAATTAAAGGATGAAAGGAACTGAGCAATTTGATTTGATTTGCTTCAAAAATCTAATTCTATCTAGCTAAAGCACGAAGCGAATCCTCCGCGGTAACATCACCTGACTTTGAGTGACTGACGTGTGGACCCTAGCAAAATGAACAATGACCCAAAGTCACCTCTGAACTTGTTCCAGCTAAAGCAAGCACCTCTCCATCTACACTACTACCATATCTGAATGAATCTGTTATCTGTGAACTTTCTCTTGAGTTCAGAAGATGCCAAACAAAGGCTACATCCAATGGGCTTTCTGTACATGTGTTTTTTTTTCTTTTCAGATGCCTCTAACACTGCTTGGATAGTTGGATTATAAAATGTTTCACTTCTTTGTTTGATAGTGTAATTGTGAAGTAGTATAATGCTGCAAGTGGTGTTAGTAGTAGTTGCAGGAGAAATGGCTACATTATAAAACAAATGTGTATAGTGTGAGCCCCATCACTAATCACCCTAACATCATAGACAAATGATACGGATTTTGTCCTATTTTTTAAAAAAAAGTTAAAAAAATGTCAAGAGAAAAATGCATATACAATTCAACTAGCTAAATAGAATCAGTTTCCAGAAAAGGAAAAAAACTAGTAGCTGTCTTTAATGAAATTATGCTATTTTGGTGTTTCTTTTCAAGCAACGAAAACATGTAAAGAGATTTGGACAACAAAAGTGACCAAGAAATCTCTAAAACTAGTCATAAAATCAAACCCCCCAAATTTTAAAATCAAGCAGGCTCGAACTCCGTACTGATTTGTTCTTTGATTTCTCATCTGATCACATGCCTTCTCCTCTCAGTTCATCCAAAAAATCAAAAAAAAAAAAAATCAGTGGTACCCACACCTCCACAAGTAGGTACTTTGTATAATCACACACTGTTACCATATCATTAGTGTAGCCATACTCACACTAATGACTTCCTTTTTGTTCTCTTCACAAACACCAATTGGATCAATGCAACCTAAAAGACCCAAAATATTTTCTTTTAAAAAAATAAATTAAAAAAAAGAGAGCACTAATTTGACTAGACCAGTGGGGCCCACACCCCCTCTTTCTCTCTCCTCAGTCATCTCTCACTCTTCTTCTTCTTCCTCCTCCTCCTCCCTCTCTCTCTCTTCAGTGCCATCACCATCTCTCTCTCTCTCTCTAGCATTGCTCTTGCTTTCTCTCTCCTCGAGGAGCTTGAGGAGCTTGGCCTCTTCTTCTTGCTCCTCATTTGCTTTGGCTTTTTGGAGGCTATATAAAGCTGAGGGGAGTAAGCGAGTTTGATTGAACCCCACCAAAAACCCCATCTTTTTTTTCTTTTCTTTTCATTTTCGTTCTTCCCTCGCTGCGGCTTTCAATTTCGCGGCTCGTGTTCTTCTCTTCTCGGTGCCCCTGCCTTGGCTCTCCTCCGATCAAATGCGGCGAGATCTGCGCGCGTGAAGGCGTCGGCGCGGGGGCCCAAAGATCGATCCTTTGCTGATCGGGAGTTTGGGTGGGGGGAAGCGAGTTCTTGGATCTTCGCGGTGGTTTCTTGGGGGCGTCTCTCGTAGGAAAAAGGGATGGATCAGTATGAGGTGCTGGAGCAGATTGGGAAAGGGGCGTTTGGCTCGGCGTTGTTGGTGAGGCACAAGCTGGAGAAGAAGAAGTGAGCTTTTGACTCGACATTGTTCATCTCATTTTTCTTTCTTTCCTTTTTTTTTTGGCATTCTTGAAGCTCACTGTTATTTCAGCCATTTTGATCATGTTGGAGGTTTGTGTGTGTGTTTATGCAGGTATGTGCTGAAGAAGATTCGGCTTGCGCGGCAGACCGACCGCACCCGCCGCTCTGCGCACCAGGAGGTAAAAGCATCATCATCTCTGCATGAGCTGCATTTTTCAGCTTCTGGTACCTAGTAAGCTATGGTTTCAAGGGGAATGCCTTGTGTTCACCATGAGCTGCATAAATTGGTGTGTTGGGTGGTGGTGATGATGATGATGCTAGTGTGTTTAGTTTGGCTGGTGCTGAACTGATCTGAAACTGTGAAGTTAAAATGATGTGATGTCTTCTTGCTCTTGTGCGGTACTTCCTTTTTTTTTATACTGATTTATGTGGAAATGCTCCTCATGCAGATGCAACTTATTGCGACGGTCAGGAATCCGTTTATCGTGGAGTACAAAGATTCATGGGTGGAGAAGGTAGGTGAAAAGGACTGAAGAGAAGGTTATGAAGTTGGGAGGGTGGAATAGATTTGTTTCATTCTCACTTCTTTATCTTTGGATTTTTCAGGGTTGCTATGTCTGCATTGTTATAGGATATTGTGAGGGAGGAGACATGTATGTGTTCCTCTGATGAAATCCTTTTAAAATAGTTTATTTTGTTCTTGAACTTTAGTTCCTTAGCTAACACAATCTATAATCGGTTCAGGGCTGAAGCTATTAAAAGAGCTAATGGTACATATTTCTCTGAGGAGGTGTGGATTCTGACCTTGCATTTCCTTTGATACCTTAAAAATTGCTTTGCTGCAAACAAGGGATGTGCACTGAAATGTTTTTCTCATTTTTTTTTCAGAAGCTTTGCAAATGGCTTGTGCAACTTCTCATGGCTCTAGATTATTTACATGCAAACCACATTCTTCACCGAGATGTCAAGGTCAGTAGTAGTGCTAAACTTGGGAGTACCTTATAGTATTTATATTTCCATGGCATGGAAATAATATATACTAAAGCTGCTAAAAATTCGTTTCAGTGCTCCAATATTTTCATTGCCAGGGACCAAAGTATAAGACTTGGTATGTATCTTAGTCCCAAAAAGTATCATACTTTATGTATGGGTTTAGCAATCCTGGTAATGTTGCAATTCCAAATTTAAACCAATGCAGGTGACTTTGGGCTTGCAAAAATATTGACTTCTGATGATCTGGCATCTTCTGTAAGTAATTGTAGCACTTTTCATATTTCCAGTACATATTCGATGTCACTCTTAGTAGTATATTGCTCCCAACACAGGTAGTAGGAACACCAAGTTACATGTGTCCAGAACTTCTTGCTGATATACCATATGGTACCAAGTCAGATATTTGGTCTCTAGGTATATATGACTTCAATTTGAGAAACCACTTTCCTGCCCTAAATGGAAAACTTACTATTGAACTCTCATTTTTATTACTTTGTTTCAGGATGTTGTATATATGAAATGACCGCGCTCAGGCCTGCATTTAAAGCTTTTGTAAGTCCCTGTTTTGGTTTCTTTACTTTTACTGTGTGATGGTTTATTTGAGCATATGTTTAGATACTACATCTATGCTAATAGTAATGCAGTGTTATGAAACGTACAAGGGTCTAATTTTCTCATTTCCCTGCAGGACATGCAAGCGCTGATTAACAAGATCACGAAATCAATAGTCTCACCATTACCCACTAAATATTCTGGTGCCTTGTAAGTTTTGAACTAGTTGCCTTTTGTTGTTTCACCCTATTTTGCCCACCATCTTATCTGGATAGAGCATGCTTCTTAAATTTATATTCTGCGTGCAGTAGGGGACTTATTAAGAGCATGCTGCGGAAAAGTCCAGAGCACAGACCTAGTGTAAGTCCATTATACTATATCCTAGTTACTACTTTGTAATAGTTGCTGATGTATACTCCTATTTGTTTTGTGGTATAAATATTTACTAAATTTCCTGTACAGGCTGCACAGCTACTCAAGCATCCACAACTTCAGCCTTATGTGCTGCAAGTCCAATTGAAATCTAGTCCTACTCGCAACATACTTCCAATCCATCAATCTTTGACTGACAAAGTTAAGAAGATGACATTTCCTAGTGACGTGGTTGATTCTGCACGCAGAAGAATGGCCAGGAGGAACTCTCTGGGAAATGAGAGGACTGTGACATTTAGCAAGCCATCTCCGGAACGGAATTCAGTTAGCTCTACACGGAGCATCAAAGAATACACAACCACCCAGAGTGTCAAAGGGCTCTCTGTTGACAGTAGTGAGGCTGGGGATGAGGTTACCAGTAAAGCCATCATAACAAAGACATCAAGCATCCTAAGGACGCCCAAGAGCTTGCCAGCCAAGACTTATACAGCTAGAAATCAGCTTGAACCTCCCAAAACATCGTATAACAGAACATACCGCTCTGAGGTATTCCATTTTGTGCCTTTTTTTTCTATATTATTTGTGCACTCAATAATACCAGTGAACCTGTTCTTCATTTGTTTAGAAACTACAATAGCCTCAATTATAGCATGTGCTTGCTCAGTGCATACTACATTAGTGTTATTCAGCTTTTGGTCTTTTAGAGTTATTAAGATCTTGTCATGATGCAGTTGTTTCTTTATGCTATTTATGGCTTCAGCACGAGCTTGCATTTTGCATGATTATGCTGCCTCTTTCATTATTTGTCTGTTGAAATGAATGTGCCAATATTCATTGAGCTCCAATTTCTTCCACTTTTACAGCTGCCCTCAAAAACAACTCCAAACAAAATTGCCCGACCAGCAAGAAGAGCATCACTCCCGCTGTCAACATATGAAACACCCACCAAGCGCAGCATCAGCATTCTGGAACAACTAGACTCCCCTGACGTCTCTGTGAATGCCCCTCGAATCGACAGAATTGCGGAATTCCCACTGGCATCGTCTGAGGACCCCTTGCTCCCCATCCACAACAAGCTCTCTCCTGGCCATGGCTCATGTTCCACTCCTCCCTTTATCAACCGGTCAATCACCAAGGACAAATGCACGATCCAGGTGTTACGCACCGATGGGGACAACGGGAGCGACTCCTCAGGCCGCAACGCCACTGCTGCCTCGAGCCGCGGATCCAATGACTCCAGGCAGCAGCGGTTCGACACCTCGTCGTTCCAGCAGCGTGCCGAGGCATTGGAAGGGCTGCTGGAGTTCAGCGCGCAGCTGCTGCAGCAGGAGAGGTATGAGGAGCTGGGCATTCTGCTGAAGCCATTCGGACCGGAGAAAGCGTCTCCCAGGGAGACGGCCATCTGGCTCACAAAGAGCTTCAAGGAGACGGCATCATAGCGCCACCTTGTATCAGGCGCGTCTAAAATCGCCAGTTTTGTCATGTGCAATATTAGCTCAGGTAGTGGTAAACAATATTTAGGATTTGAGACTTTTAGCTGTTGGGAGGCAGCACCATCTCAGTGTTGCTGTTAACTCAAAATCTACTTCTAGCTCTAGCTAGTTTCCAGTTTTTTACTTTCTATTAGGAATCAGCAATCAGCAGCAGGAGTTGTAGTAGTAGAACTGTAAGTTAAGCTGAAGATCTTGCAAGATCTTAGAACCTTTGTAATCATGTGGCACCTGCAATCATGTAGTGATATAAATGTGGGGTTAAGGATATCCAGTTGGCAGCAGGCAGGGTGGGGTCTCCAGGATTATTTTCTTTGAGCAGGGTTTGGGGTATCCTATGCCAGGATCTCCAGATTCATCTTACTCTGACTACATTACATTACATTACACTATACTGATCCAGCTCTCTCTCAGCTCACTCCAATCATAAGAACAGAGAAATCTATGTTACCCAGATGCATGCATGGATGCTGTGCAGATCATGTATCACATACCATGTACCTACCCTGTGGCCTTTGTAAGCTAAGCCTAACTACCTGAGCTGTAAGCCATACCCTGTGGTTGAATTTGCATGCCATCTCAGTCACAGCTAGCTACTCCCTCTGTCCATAAATATAAGCATTTCTAGGAGTTTTAACAGATATAAAGGTTGAGGTGAAATTACTCTGATTTCCCTAAGAGTTTACTAGCTTTATGAGATATAACACCAAGCAATGTAACGATAAATACAGAGAATCATGTGTGGTTAGATTGGGAAAATAGTACTCTAGAAATGATTATATTTGTGGATAAATTTCAAACGCTAGAATTGTTTGCTCTTTAGCTTATCAACCGTAGCTAAAATTTGATTTTTAAAACTTAATTTATAAGCGGATCTTGATGTTTCTTTTTATCGTAGTTTATTTTTCAATACTGGCTTCTAAGTCGCTGAGAGCACACATATAAACAATTTATGCATAAACTATTTTTAGTCTCTAATAAGCCAGGCCAAACGATGGGGAGAGTACTTAACTACTCCACAAAACAGCAGATGACCATGTGGTGATGGATGCAGTCATGCAGAGAGGAGGGGAGAAGAGAGAATCAAAACCAGTAGAGGCTTAGAATCAAAACCAGTAGAGGCTTTGTACAAATGCAGAATCTCTGCATGTGCCATGCTGCTTGTATTGTCACAATTGTCACCTGCCTGTACAAGATGATCCAAAATCTACCACTTATCTGTGCTGCCAACAGGACTGGAGGAAGAAGAAAACAATGGATGCATGGATCTCTCTCGGGAGAGGCCGTCGGCATGGGGGCAATGTCGTGGCTTCTTGCAGGCGTTCAGCAGAGCAGGCAACACCCCATGTCCACAACAGTGTCCCCTGTCTCTCTTTGTAAGTATCCAGACTGATTGACAATCAACAGATGCACACATGCAGTATAGTACTAGTCATGTAACCAAGGTTTTTAACTCACCATTCCCTAGATAATGTACTGTCAGGCCATGGTCACTGTCTTGACAGCACAAATTCAAACCTAGGATAGAGTATTTTGAAAGGAAACAAACCTTTGCATGTGCTATTTTATCCAAGTGGCATTAGAAGTATATATATATTTTTTTTCTTTTTGATTGACCATATCCTAGGCATTGCAGTTGAATCTTTCCTATATACATGCTGATAAATGGTGTTCAGTAGCAATTGTTCTGTCCATTCTACAGATTAACCACCCTCCTTACAAAATTTTGCGAGACAAAATATTTTGAATTATTCTGTCTTGATACCCTACTGACGATGGATCATTGCTGCAATCAGTGTACCTATGCATTCAAATGAGGACAACGAAATGCTCATACCTTCCAATTTCCAGTTGGACAGTATAAACCACCAGCTGACCCTGAACACCCAAGATCATCAAACTATAGAGTAAGCATTGTTGGATTCGTTGTCAGGCTGTACCATTTGCCTGGGCTTCTGGTCTTCACCAGCGTTCCTGGGCGATGTAACGGTGGAAGACGATGAGGATGGCGAAGGCGATACCGCCTTGCGCACCGGGCTGAATGGCATGTGCAGCGGCCTCCGCAGTTCGCTCATTGGGCTTCTGGGGCTCAGGAGTAGAGGAGGTGGCTGCGGCTGTGGTTGCTGCTGTTGCTGTGGAGCTTCTGCAGCAGCATCTTGGTGATGCCCTTGCTGTTGTTGTTGCTCTGTTGCAACTTTGTTTAGAATGTTCTGTAGTGTGGGGATTAGTTTTGCTGTAACAGAGATGATCCCAGGAACCTGCAATATATAAGATTCAGCATAATTGTTGTGTTAGTGGAGAAAAGGATCAATGTGGTTTTTTGCAAACTTATTAACACTAGTGAGGCACTGGCATAACATTCTAACTCAGAAGACAATACTGAATTGCTGATACACACCAATGTAGGGTTTTCAATTTCGATTTCGGCTAAAATATCGGCCATTTCGGTAGAACAAAAATTTTTGGGCCAAAATTTTCTGAAATTTCGACACAATTTAACTGAATTTGATTAAATTCACAAAAGTTTGAGAAAAACTGAAAAATTCGGCCGAGATATTGGCATGCCGGGGGGTCCGAATTTACCGAAATTTCGGAAATTTCGAACCAAAATTTCAATCCCTGCACCAATGTGTAGCGCTTATAGCCTGATGTTTCATCAAAATTAGAGCAAAATTAAGGTTTTATAAGCAGATTGCTATGTTAACAAAAGAAAACTTTCTCTGTAGAATAAACTATGCCACTATATATTTTTCACAAGATCCTCTAAGTTGAGGTTGCACTAAATATTCATGAAATAAGTAGCATAGGAAACAATTTATACACTAGCAATAGGATACTAGTGTTCAATAAACAATTTATCCTTCCCGATTCATAGCCTCATAGGAAACAAATTTCGTAAAAAGTGTTCAATAGATAATGACCTTGTACATGCTCCACTATGAATCTATGATGCAACACATAATCAGATAGTACCGGGAAATTTGTTGATCTCTATAGGATACTATTGCAATAGCATATCAATACTATAGGTTAGCTTCACGGTGAATGTTCAAAACCTTACCACGCCATTTTGGAATTCTCTGTTGATATCTAGCTGCACTGCTAAAGCTTTGACCAGCAAATAACCCACAAATAGCAAGAATAGATATATGGGATTCCTGTGCAAAACAAGAAGAAACGAAGATATAATGTTATATTGTTTTGTGAGTGGGTATAGAATTGATATGTATAGTACAAGCAAATACCTAAGAAGCGTCATGATCTCATTAAACCCAAGAACTGCAATTGCCACCATGGCCCAAGGAGGAGGCAGCCTACCATTGCCGCGCTTGTGAGCTTGCTGGAGTAAAAAAAGATGAAAATTCAAGGAACTGACAAATGAAAATAAGACTCTTTGATCAAATAGGAAAAGATCAAACCATGTACGTGATCCAAATTTTGGAAGAAAGCATAAAGATCCTCCCAAATTATGGATACACACCTGCGTGGAAACCGCTTGTGTAATGGCGAACTCAGTTTCTGCTTTGAACTGCTTCCACAGTGACTTGCATTGAGAAGGAGTGATGAGGGTATACTTTGGAGAAACCTGCTCAAGAGTTCAATAATCGTGATGGTTCCATGATTTATGCACTTCTAATATTTACAGCAGCGCGAAAAATTAACACAAGCTTACTTCTTCCCAAGTAGTTGAAGCAAGTGGATCACTAGAAGCACTTGCACCCTTCGACTTCGGTGTAACAGAACCATCTAGGAGTGTGGAAGTGAGGATTTTTTCGATCTTATCCGGTTTCTCATCCCAGCGAATGGCAGCCAATACAGAAAGAAGTTTGAGAGCCTGCAACACGAGTGCAAGTCCATTTAACAAAGAAGGGGAATCAAAGGAAGAACTATGTCATCCCATTAGAACTTAGAAGGGTTCAAGTCCTATACAGCAGATCGAGCATCCTTTGCTATTGCACGGACATCTTCCTTCCCTGTCCAGACCCTCGGAATTGAATCCTTGTCATGACTGAAAACCGTTGTAAACCTGGCAATGGCAAGCAACTTTGTCAGAAGTGCGAGAAATTGATCGGTATGGTGAACGAATAATAGATGATTTTGCCAACCTCTCCTTCATATGAATCAAAACTTTGCCAGCTTCTTCTTTAGCTTTATTTTCTACGATACTTCTGGCATAATCCCTTAATTTTGATACCATTCCTTCTGACGTTGCACTTTCCATTTCAAACCCAGCAAGGTTTTTCTGAAACTCTGGCAGGATAGCCTCCGTTTCTCGTTTAAAAAGGTTTCTTATTGATGCCCAGGTTGAAGGGCCTGCAGCATCGAAAAGAGACTCTACAGGTTCAACTAGTGCTTTTCTTAGTTTCTCCTGCATGTATAATATACCTGCATTAGTACCATGTGGTAACCAAATCCCGTAGCACATGCTAAATCGATGCAGAAGAGAGGTTAGTTATGAGTTGCTAAAAGAAAGGGCTTTCTTTAGCTTGCCATACTTAACCTTAGCATGATTTGTCAATTCTGATAGCTTGCCTTCACGAATTGAAAGTGTGTGGTCTTCAACATCGCGCCGAACCTTCTCTAGTATTTTAGAGTAGTCCCAGTCTGCCTGCTCGATTACAGCATCTACAACAGAATCAACAGAAAAACAAGTCAGATGGCAGTATCACTTTCCTCAAGGTCACCAGTACCACATTAAGAATTGTTACACAAAAATAATCTGGAAAAGAGTACCCTGCAAATTGCATGTTAATCATGCACAGTAAGTAGATATAATGATGAAAAAGCATGCAACATCACTGCACAGAGGTATACCGTCTTTAGACAAATTTAATGTTCTTTGAAGTTTAAGTGCACCAAATTCAGCTACTTGCAGGTTGCAGGACTCAGACTAGTAGACTGCTTCAATTCAAGAATGTAACGATTATTACATCTAATAACAGTACTACTCAAATAAATTTTGTGGTCATTGGCCATGAAGTATCTATATAAATTATCAAGAGTTTAAGAAGTTTACCTGCACACCCTTGATCAAATTCGTTGAGATTGGATTCAGTAGTGTCTCGAACAGCTGCTGCAAAACCTTTTCCACTCTCCAAAGTAAGATTAAGTTCAGTTTTATATTTTTCAAGAGCCCTCGTACGCAGGTGAGCCAACATTTTCTGGAATGCGGGTTGGACAAGCTGCGAAGAATTTGAGACAAAAAATTAAAACATATATATGAACTGTGTTTATTCAGAAGAAAGAAAATCTTGGCATTTCTCTTTAGCGCCAGATTAACTTATCAGAGTAGCAGAGTGGTTACAAAAAAGTTTTAGTTCTTAGAGAGCATACCATTTTCAACGATAACAATACAGTATTGATGTAATTGGCTGAGGTCAATCAAAGCTTCCTTTATATATTAAAATAATATAAGAAAAAACAGTATTGATGTACAAGAGTCCTTACATTCAGTACTCTGGATTTCAGCAGTTGTCGTTTTGCTGTCCTAACAGCTTCATCGAAATAGATGGCTTCTTTGTCATACCTAAAAATAATTCACGTATCAATTTTATTCATGAACAAATACTTACCGTCACCACAAAATATTGGATTTGGTACAAAACAAGGTGACCAATTTCTAGCTTCCAGAATTTGCAAATAGCAATTCGAAACAGAGGAAAACATCTCTATATTAATTCTTCCGTAAATATCATAATTAAGTGTTTGAGAACTTTTAAGACATTTCCTGTTTGCGATGCATATGCCTATCTACTGGTAGATTTATAGAAACATCAAATGCATTTATGTTACCAAGTTTATATTACTTATACTGTTTGCTTGCTAAATTGAAGGTAATAGGAATCACACTGAACAAACCACAACTGTGAGCTGTCAACAACTTATATTATGCAGGGGCTTACTCTTGCATGTGGACGTCCACAATATAGCCAAGTTTTTTTCCAAAACCAGGTACTGGACCTGACTGCACATCACTCTCCAATTCCATCCATTCCTAAAGAATGACACAAACAAATTAATGAACCTGGAAATTGTACACAGGTCAATAGATCAAGTGGGAGATTCTTACTGCATCTGAGGTTAGGCAGGAAAACTTTTCGTGTGCAATTTCATCACATCGAACTGTAGCAACCATTACCTTGTATAATGAAACAAATGAAAATAAATCAATAACCGACAAGCTAGAGTGGTTTCTCTTACTGAATTGATGATGTTACTTCACCTAGGTATATCATACAGATTTAAACTCGCAGTTAACTATTTTACTGATCACTGTTGACAACAAAAGTTTCCACAATGCATTTGAAAGAAACAATTTTAGCATACATCAGATGGTGTGGCATTAGTCTTTTCGTTCAGAAAGTGGGGATTCATTGGTGTATTCTGCATAGTATATTCAATTGTATTCTAAAGTGCACAGACAATATTATAGATTTTAAATCCTTAATGGTAAGTGTAATAATACTGACCCAGTATAAGTCTTTAGTGCACAGAAGGAGATATAAGTGTACCTTGTGAGCAGGTAGGTCAAGATCCTTATTCTCTCGTATAACTTTCCAAATCTGTTGTGAACTAAACAAAAATCCTGAAGCAGGAACCACTCCTCTTCTATCACCTGCAAGACCTCCTGGTGCAATTGAATTTGAAAATCTCTGCCTAAGTTGTTGAACCTGGCAGAGGTAAAAGTAAGGTGCTTGAAAAATAATAATTTTCAGTTCCCTATTTTTGTTTGAAAACGTTCTGTTGTCCCCAGACAACTGTTTCATTAGAGTACAAGTGAAAAGGTACCTGCTCTCTGAATTGTTCTTCTTTTTCTTCAAAACTGGGCAATGCAGTGACTTGCACCTTCATATTGACAAACCATGTTAACATAAACAGTAAAACCTTCATCTTTGTTTCAAAGATTGAATACTGGAACTACAAAACCTACATTGAAAAATTCACTGATAGGGGTGTCTTTGTGCGCCTCTGGCTTAGCAACAGAGTTCCATATCTGATTAAATCTGTGACAATATTAGGACTAGAGAAAGGAAACTATGTTGTAACAAAGATGGAAACAATAGATGATGGCATCACCTTTTGAATATCCTCCCTCAGAACTGGTTCTAGATGCTCAAGTGGAGTCTACATGAAAACAACGATGTGTCTGAGATTGGCCCAAGTAAATGGAGCAATGATTATATTTCCAAACAGCTTGCACAAAACATAACAGTAAATATATTCAAGAAAGAATAAAGAACAAAGAGGCAAACCCTGGTTTTATCACGTATAACAAATAATAGTGTTGTCTTTCGGGGACTGAACAAACGCATCATGACCTACAAACCCAGTTGTCCAAATGTTACAAATGCATCAAGAATGTATTGCTGTGGCAAAGGTTATCTGAAAAAACAGATAAATACCTGAAATACTGTTTTTAGAAGAGGCTTATTGGCAGCTTGTTCCCGGCCAATATCATGGCACCACCTATCGACATACATATGGTGGTAATACAAAGTCATGAAGTTGATGAATTATATATTAAAGTTCAACCTAGAAGGCTATGAGGAATTTTCATAATATGAGCTCAGTAGTAGAGTTGAACAATTGAGTAACTCACATGTTAATTAGAACTATGTCTGAAATTGCAAGAGCAAACAACGAACTTTGCTTCTCAAATGCAGTGTCGTCCTAAAATGGGGCAGAAGACACAGGTATCAGAAAAGGAACTGAAGAAACAACTCATGTATCCCTCAAGTTGCTTAAACTCGTAATACATGTAAAGGCACATTTTAAAACATAGGAGCTAGCCAAGCAGGTTAAGCTCATTTTCATTAATTGGAAGATATAAACAGAAGACAAGAAAATGACAATGCAATGAAAACGCAATACTTATAAACCAAATATTGCAAACTTAATTTGCTCAGATAAATCATTGCAGGAGGAAAGGAGATACTAATGCTAACTGAACTTTTGCTTTTAAAGATCTCGGGGTAGGGAAAAATCCAAACTTTGCTTTTAAAGATCTCGGGCTAGGGAAAAATCCAATTGTCAGTGGTTGGTTATTGTTCTGTGAAACCATATCTTGGGCTAGTTACCGATTTCTACAGAACAGCTTTCTACAAGTGCACACGGCCACTCCAAAAGGTTCACTAGAAGATATATTGAACATGGGAATTGAATTGTATACGCGTTAAGCAAGCATACCTCTCCTCTTTCTCTTCCATCAGTACCCTCCAAATCCATCACAACAGTACACGGCTCAACACCAACACATCGTGCTATCCAGATACCTTTGGTAGTTTGACTCCTAAAGACATAGGCATAATATCAGTGATATCATGGTATTTCCCTACCAGAAATCAAAATGTAATAGTGTGACTATGAGTTCCTGTGAGAGATCCAGTTCAGCAATCAGAGAACAGGAAAATGAACAAGCAAAGATACGTACTACTGCCTAGCAAAGAAAAGTAACTAGTTCAAAAAACAAAATAAAAATAAGACAGTACGAATATTTATAATCATGTGGAGGAACAAAACGGGACTACCTTCCCCTGAACGCATCCATCTCCCTAAAATTAGTTCCAAAGAGTTGGTTCAGCAACGTACTCTTTCCTGCTCAAAATAAAAGGTATGTTATGATGATCAAACAAGTACTAATTAATTTCTTAATCATGTACTCACAAATATTGGTGACAGAAAGCACACATGTCAGCTAAAAGCTAATAGTACATTGTAGTAAAGGCCAGTGTCAGGGTACTATTAGCCAAAGAATGCGTGCTAAGAGTAATACTTCATCTGTTTCACAATATAAGACTTTCTAGCATTGCCAACATTCATTTAGATGTTAATGAATCTAAACATATGTATGTGTCTAGATTCATTAACATCTATATGTATGTGGGCAATGCTAGAAAGTCTTACATTATGAAACGGAAGGAGTATAACACAGTCAAGTATCAGAAAAGACAAAAACAAAGGGGTCTTTCCTCCATGCATGAAAGGTAGGCGTGTAAGAAAAATGAAAAACGGTAGATGCTGTCATCTATGTGGATTGCGGAGAACAGATTATGCGAGACTTATACACCCTATAATATCCATTCATTTTGCCGGGTTATAATATCCATTCATGTCAGCAGAGGCAGAGCTTGATGAAAGATGTGTACAATTAAGTGGCTCCTTTACACACACCTTAGCCAAAGAGTACGTTCATGCATCCATCAATCAGTATTGGGAGACGAAAAAAAAAATGCAACCATAATAACTTGCTAGAAACACAAACGTACGTATGCAAGTACTCCACTAGTAGCAAATGCAGATTTGTATTGTACTGATGTACTACCAATCCAAACAAATTAAAGCAAAGATTATTCAAAACTGATGTTTGTATACTACGAGCGTCGTAGCGGCCCTGCGCGCGCGCCGAAACATTTGATCGAACAGGTGCCGTGCGAGGGATCGATCGATACCCAATCATGACGCATGGCGCGCGGCGGCCGATCGATGAGGCGATCTCGACATGGCGCGAGGGATGGGATGGGTCCGTACGTACCGCTGCTCTGGGGTCCCATGATGGAGACGACGGCGTAGGAGAGGCCGCAGCCGGCGACGCCCGCGGCCGCCATGAAGCGCTCCGCGGAGTCGGCCGCGAACTCCCCCTCGCCGTCGATCAGCTGCACCGCCTCCGCCGCCGCCGCTTCGTCCATACCCTCTCCTCTCCTCTCCGATCCCGATCCCGATCCGATAGGGTTCGTGGGGCGCGCGACGACGACGACGACGACGACAACGACGACGACGATGTCACTCGCCCGCCACGGCAACCGCCTCGCCTCGCCTCGGCTTCTCCGGCCACTCGGGTTTCGCGGACCACGATACGTGGGAGACGCGACGCGAGGCCTCTCCCCCTTCTCCTCCTTTTTTTTTTAATTTGCTTTTATACCCCTCGGCCCTCGCCTCTCCTCCCATCGGGGTAACTCAGCTTATTGTCCCTGTAAAAATAACTTATCACATTTCAGCCCCCTCTTGTTTTACCTCGTGCTCCATGTTATATGAGTCGTTTGACTTTTGTTCCTAGGCAAATTTTTTTAAGTTTGGCCATATTTTTCTTAAATATAGTACTCCATCTATTTTAGGTTATAAGACGTTTTGACTTTAGTCAAAGTCGAACTATTTTAAGTTTGATTAATTTTGTAGAAAAAATATTAATATTTTTAACCCAAGACATAATATATATTATGAAAATTTATCCAATTATAGATTTAATGAAACTATACTGGTGTTGTAAATATTACTACTTTTTTCTACAGAGTTAGTCAAACTTATGGTAGTTTGACTTTAACCAAAGTCAAAACGTCTTATAACCTGAAATAGAGGGAGTAGTATTTTCAATACAAAACAAATATATTATCAAAATATATTCAATGTAAGATTTAATAAAACTAATTTGATATATTTAGATGTTGCTAAATTTTTCTAAAAAATTGGTCAAATTTAACAATGATTAGCTAGGAAAAAAGTTAAAAGATTTATAATATGAAACAGAGGGCGTAGTAGAAATTATATTTTTTTATATGGGGGTAATTGAAATCAATCTAGCATATATAGATCTCAGGATAATATCCGGCCATTTGAAAAATAAATTATGGTAATGCTAGACTGCACCATGACATAGGTACATAGATATACCTTATACGTTTTCTTGCGTAGTAGCTATGGTTACATTATTTATTCTTTATTGTAGTATGATAAAGCATTCGAACCAGACTTATACATGAGTCTTTCACATTTGGATGAAATTATCGTCTATCTTAGATCATAGTGCGCTCATCTCTATATCTTGCATTATGGTTTGTGCCCGTGCTTTTATCATTACATCATTATGTGATGAAAGGTGGTGATGTTGTAAAGGGGGTGTGGGTTGAGCAAAGGTGATAAGGGTGCTATACTAGCAAACATCTTAGGTGGTTAATTAAAAGATGGCTATAAGGATGTTCTAAATCATAGCGAGATCGCTGATATGTATGAACAATAATGACTATCTTCAATGACTAAAATAGACATACGACTAGTGTAAAACCTAACGCGCGAGATGTATATAGAATTGCGATACATCTTGATATACCACAATTAGGATAAGGCTAGTGCAAAACCTGTCAATATATTTTACATATCATAAATCATATGCACATCGCATTTACGGTAACAAGTAACAGTAGTCTAATTATGGTGAATTGCAGTACTACATCAAAGAGGATCCGAAAATAACAAAAAAAAACATTGTAAATGGACAACTCATAAATTAAAACCCTTCAGTCACTTTGGGCAGGAATGGATGCTAAAAGAAACAGGCCCAGTTTCCATAAATTTTTCAAGGCCATAACTGAAAATATCACCTCAGAGAATAACTGCAATTCCACACTATCTCAAGAAACAAATCTGAATTAAACTCACACAATTGTTTCTCACTGACACAATCTGTAACTTGCACAATGCCACAGACAACACACAACAAAATTTCACTGTTCAGAACTTCAGATCACTGAAAAGAAACAAGGCTCATTCAGGTCAGCAAGAAGCAAAGAAGCAACAAGGTTGTCAGCTTCTACTGTTGATCTGTTCAAGCCACTGAAAAAAAAAAAATTTCAGACTTGAGACTTCGAGAGAAGAGAGTGATCGCTTCTTCACACAGTAGCATGCAGCTCGTGTTCGTCCGTGTCAGCTTGTCACGCGCGCCGCCGTGGCCGCGGTCACCGCGGTGGCGGCGGACGAGCCGCCGTCGCTGCCGCCGGCGAGCGACGCCGTCGACCTGTCCATCCTCACTGCCCACGGGCACGCCGCGCTCGCGCTGGCGCTGGCGCGCGCCTGCGACGCGCACCGCTCCATGCGCGCGCCGACGCCGACGCCGGCGGCGGAGGCGGGGGCGGCGAGGTCACGCGGGTCCAGCGACGCCCTGCGCCGGCGGTCGCCCGGCGTCGTCGTCCACTCGCCGCACGACGGCGAAGGGGACGGCGAGGCAGCGGCGCTGATCGGCTGGTCGTGCCGCTGCCTCGGCGCGCTCTGGGACCGCGCCTTGGCGCGCGACGACTCCGTGTTCGACATGTAGTTCTTCGGGAACAGCTGCTGCAGCGCCGCCGCGTGGTCGCCGCCGGCGACTGCGGCTGCTGGAACGCTGTGGTGGCGCCCGCTGGCCTCGGACGCCGCGGCGGAGAAGGAGTAGTCGTCGAGCCGGCCGCTCATTGTCCGCGCGCTCGCCTCCGTCAACGCCGACGGCGTCGGCGACACCTTCTGGTAGAGCTCGCCCTTCGCCGCCGCCGCCGCCGCGCCGCACGTGCTGCGCCTCCCGCACCCCCTCGCCGCGCCGCCGCCGCCGCCGCCATTGTCCACCTCGACGACCCTCACGTTCTCCTCCGATCCCCTATCCACCACCTCCTGCAATGCCATAGTCATCTTCTCCTCATGTCTCCCATGATCGCCGTCGCGAGCTAGAGTGCGGTGGCGGAGACGCTTCGCTTACCAGTGGCTTCCGTGATCGGTGGTGCTGCGGCGACGAGCGGCGGCTGGTCGTCGTCGGCGGCCGCGGCGAGCGCGCGTGCTTGTCCTTGTCGTCGTCGAGGAGGCACAGCCGCTCGGCGCGCGCGCGCCTCTGCGCGGCGACGAGCGCCTGCATGCGGCGCAGCGTCGTGCTCGCCTGGCGCCGCACCAGCTGCCCCCTCACCATCGCCTGCAGCTTCACCATCCCTCTCAGCGCGCACAGCGCCTTCCTCGCCTGCACCCCCCCACACGCCATCGAGTTGCACAAAACCAGGAACAGATGATGGCGTCATCAATGGCGTATCATTATACGTACCAGGTAGGATCGGAACGCCGCCTGAATCCTGACCGCCGCGGCCGCGGCGGCCTCGTTCTCCTCGGCGACGTCAGCGGCGGCCGAGCTCTCCGCCTCCGGCGCCGGCGAGACGGCGTGCACGTCGGAGAAGCAGAGCGACGACGTGTTGGTGGTGGCCTGCGCCGGCGGCCTCCGGAAGCTCCACCGCCGCTTCTCCTTGGCAGACGGCGGCGCCGGCGACGGCGGCGCCGGCGGCTGGCCGCCGTCCTTGCCCTTCCTGTCCTTCTTGCCGCCGGTCAGGAAGCTTCTGAGCCACCTACCCGCCTTCCCCATCTCTGCACAAGAAGGAGAAGAAGCTTCTGCAGCAGAAGTGATGGCCTAGTGACCTCAGCTTCGGCTTCTAGATGCTTCTAGAACCTTACACATCTTCCACCTATGCCTCTGCAATCTGCCAATCTACATACTGCTCTTCTTCTTCTTCTTCTTGCACATGCATTCAGTTAAATATATCTGCAGGACTGCAAACTCTGTACCCAACACAATTTAAGCATACCAATTACTAACTCCTCAACTTTGGCTGTGTTTAGTTCAGCGCAAAGTTTGGATTTTGGTTGAAATTGGAGATGATGTGACTGAAAAGTTATGTGTGTATGACAGATTGATGTGATGGAAAATGACTGAAGTTTGGATTCAAACTTTGGATCTAAACACAGCCTTTCACTGCAAAAAATGGGACAACAAAGAAAAATGTGTCCCTCATATGAGATGGACAATGTTAATTATGGTGTAATTGTGGGGATTTAAGGGGGGTTTTCAGAGGCTACATGTGGTGAGTAATTCAGTACAATCTTTCTTTTGCTTTTTTTTACTGGAATTAACCTGGCTATGAATGTGAGCACTGTGGATTCATTCATGCATCATGCAGTACTCCCTCATCTTCCAGAAGCAAACACATGGCACAACTCAGCACAATGTGGTACTGCTACAATGACCATGGTCTACAAGTGCTACAGCTACTGCTAGCTACTTTAACCAGTGGTAACAAACACCATCTGAGCAAAGTTTTTCATGAGGGCTCATGATCCAATACCAATTAATTACTCCCTTGGTCCACAAACATAAAGTTTGTTCATCGTTTGTTCTTTAGCTTATCAGTCACGGCTAAAATTTAAAATTTTAATTTTATAGTTGATTTTGATTTTTTTATTGTAGTTTATTTTTCAGTGGTGGCTTTAAAGTCACTAAGAAGATAAGTATAAAAGTTTTGCTCACAAGTTATTTTTTAAGCTGATAGTCAGCTGTAGGCGAAATGATGGGACTTAAGGGGTTCTAAATTGTTTAGCACTGTTTAAGGTTAAGGTGAAATTCCTCTGATGCCCCTGATACTTTACTTATCGGGAAAGATCATGCCTACCGATTCAACTACCAATAAGTGATAAATTCAAAGGTATTTTTGTGGATGGATGGAGAAACCCCAAATACCTTATATTTGCGGACAGAGGGGAGCAGTGGCCTGAACCTTCTCCTTCCTGACTTGACTAGCTTCTTTCACATGATTGTGCTTATGATGAGTGTGTAACAATGGCGTATTGAATAGTGATGAGTAATGTGTGCCTTTGAAACTTTGATCTGTACTGCATGCTGGTACACCATGGTGCTGCTGCTGCTGCTACTGATGTAGGAGGCTGCTGGGTTTATGAGTGTCGAGACAGCCACAATGGTTGAGGATTCAATGTGCTAGCCTGGACCTTGAAGGCCTGAACAGTGCTGCAGCAGCAGGGAGCAGGCAGCAGAACAATGGGCCATGGTGACACTCGAAACCGGAGCTTGGCAATAAATGTAGTAAGGAATGATCTTTGTTTCATTTAATTTTGAGTGAAAGAATTTGGAGGCGGTTACAAACGTTGGAATCAAATTCAGGATCCAATGGCGAATGGTGGCAGTTCGAAGAAGTTCTGAATTTTTTGAAGGTAGTAGCAAGAATTCAGTCACATTCTTGAAACTTCCTTCTCCTCTGATGCATCATTCATCATGGCTGCGATGAGTGCATTGGACTGGAGTGAGATCTCTTTATCTTCTCAAATCTCCATCGCGACTGTTGATAACTCAAAATTATACAAACACTAGACAAATTTTGCGCATCTGGTCGAAGACTGAATGCTCATTTGGAGGATGGTAGTATGGTATGAATATGATGAGTTGAGGAAAAAAAAATGAAGAGGCCACAACAAGATTCTCCTCCAAATGCTAACAAGAAGGTAAGTAGTAATGTTTTCTTAATTTATGATGTTCGTTGTCCTAAATGTTCAGAGTTTCAATCTTTCGACAAGAGAAAACTTGGCATCACAATATACAAAAGTTTGTTTCTATCTTCTTTGGTATTCTGAATAATCAATGAAAAGAAGCTTGAGAATGGGTACAAAAATCGGCCTATATATATATGTGCATACAATACAAGATCTCTGCTTGATTGTTCGTTCTTGATTTTAGGACGTCTCGAGACTGACACTGACGAACGAGTTGCCAGTTTCATTCAATCCAAACTGGGTAGATAATAATAACGGGCCGGCCCATATTCCTGGCCTACCTGTCTTTCGGGCCAGGTCATGGGCCCATCATAATTCATACACACAAATCAACAAAGTTAGTACTTACAAAAGAAAATACGAAATGAGTTGAACATGTCAAAGGTCTGTGTATCATCAGACTGCCTTGAGATCAAGGTGCCAATATTTAGCAGTTGTTAATGATAATTGAGGCAAGAAAGAAGTATTCTGCAAAAGTAAATTTTGTTAGGAAAATCAGGCTTGTATTGTAACTTTGATGCTCACAACCTAGCCAGGTTTGCTTCTACCTTACAGGAGGGGTGTCATGTTTGATTCTCAAATCCTCATTGTAATCTGAATAGGAATGCAAAGTTGGATGTTAAACACCACTTTATTATTCTAAGAAAGTACAAAAGCATACGAAATGAGTTGAACAGCTGAAAGCACACGCCGAGATGATGTTCATTTCTACTGAAAATGAAGATGAAGTTAAGGCACGAAAAACAAAAAAGTTATTAGCATATGATTAATTGAGTTTTAATTATTATAAACTTGAAAAATGAATTTACCTGATATTTTAAAGCAACTTCTATATAAAAAGTTTTCGTACAAAATACACCTTCAGTTAAAAAGCACACTAAAACCGAGGTAAAATTTATATCGTAACCACAAAAGAACGGAGGTAAAATATATATTTATCTTAATGGGAAAAGAATCGACAGTGAGAGTGAGTTTGTGAGTGTGTGTGTCTGCAGCAGAGTGGTAATCATCGTTGTCTTGGCTAAGAGGTTGAAGATCCCAAGGTCCATATAAACTCAAAACACATTGTATAATTTGTAGTATTACTAGGCATATACGTAGTAAAATTGTACAGGCTACAGCAACATCACGTGGACATTCGAAGCTTTTGGAGACATCAGACATATATTATATATACATTGTTCTTCATTTTCAACTGGCTCATCGAGCATGAATGCCGCTAGCTTAAGACCCTATTTAGATGGGACTGGAACTTTAAAAGTCCCTATCACATCGAATGTTTGGACACTAACTATAAATATTAAACATAGACTATTAATAAAACACATCCATAATCTTGGACTAATTCGCGAGACGAATCTATTGAGCCTAATTAATCCGTGATTAGCACAATAAACATTCTCTAATTATGGATTAATTAGGCTTAAAAATTTGTCTCGCATATTATGGATTAATTAGGCTTAAAAATTTGTCTCGCATATTAGCGTTCATTTATGTAATTAGTTTTGTAAGTAATCTATATTTAATACTCTAAATTAGTGTCTAAATACAGATACTAAAATTAAGTCCCCGGATCCAAACACCACCTTAAATTAGCTCGACATCCTCTATGGTTTTGCCCATGCAAGCAAGCATGCCTGCATATTGCTGATTGGCAATTTGGTAGAATGGCAGCAGCAGGCAGGACATCAAAAGGCTCGAGGAGAGGAATATTCTGTCCTCTCCATCCATTCATCCATCCCAGGTTATATAAGCTTAAGCTTTCTTCAGGCGAGGCGATGGATCATCATTGCAGTTCATATCATGCTGGTTTCATCTATTATCATTCGTACGTAGTCAATTCTCCGGGTATCATGTTGTTGACCAACCGTCTATCGAATAAAGTTAGCGGTGTCATATAGGAGTATTGAAAACACGAAATAGTGAAGGTTACTACGGAAATAGGTTTTAATCTCATGCATAAGGGGATGTCTCCTCGGTGGTGTATATTATCCAAAAAGTTATATAAAATGAATGATAAGATAGATTAATATGTAATATATCGATCTAAAAAATATGTAACTTAAAATTTGATCCCCACAAGTTGTAATAAAATCAACAAATTTAACTCAAACTAGTATATGTGTACTCACGGTCATATTTTTTTAACTTGTATAATCTAAACTTAAATGTTTACAAAATAATATACCCCGTCACATACTAATCTATCTTACCAATTTTTTTCATAACTAATTAGATGGAATGCAAAGAAACTAGGGAACATCTTCTCGAAGAATCCAGATTACTAGCTACTCCATATCATTATTCAGCAGGAATATAGCCAGCCATGTCCTATATATGCCGGGCTATCATTATTCAGTAGGAATACAACCATGTCCTATATATGTCCGGCCATAAAGAACCCGAAGAAGAAGAAGGCAAACATATTGCAAACAAGGGAAACTAGCCACCTTGTGACACTGACAAATGGCCCCACAATTTGCCCTTGCTTCCGGAACCAGATCCTCTGACTTAGGAAAAACTAAGTCAGAGGGCAGTAGCCCGTCGATCCGCCGTCCATCAAGCATCGAACGCTCGCTACTCGCTCAGGGAAAAATGGGTGCAGCATGTGCGCTACTTGCTCGCTGTCGTTCACCGCGCCGCTGGTTCTGCTGTTGTTAAGTATGCCGTTGTGAAGTCGACGGCTGGGTAGCATTTGTGATGGGAACCCGCTAGGGTTTGTGGTCCGATCTTTCGATGAGAGGTAAGGGATAACTCGATTGGATGAAGACGACGTTCACAGCCCGACTACAACTGTCCAAAGACGCTACGCCTTAGCAACCGATACACCACCTCCAATGGTCACCGCGAACTTGTGGTGCGCGTCAACCCGGCCACGAGGGCACTCGTCCTGCAAGCAATCGAAGAACAAGCAAGAACAAGTAGAACAAGCACTGAAATTGCTAGATAAAGATGAAAGTTTCACTATCAAAACACAATATGGTGGGGTTCCGATTACAGGCAGACGGGCGGTTTAGCCAACACGCGCGCTGCGAGCCGGTAGCAAGTAGCTATCTCTATCATCAAAACCCAGAAACCCTGAAGGGGTAACTAGCTATATATAGGGGTAGGAGGACGACCTAGGGGTGCCTAGGGTCGTGCCCCACCAGCTTGGGGCGCACCCCACATGGGCCCCACCTGGGCCGGGGTCCCAAATGAAGTTACAAGCCCATAGGCCCATTACAGGTGTCGCAGCACCTTGTTTCTTCAGTTGCTGCTGACTGAGATGGAATTTGGCAATGAGGCTTGATGCATTGGAAAGAGGACTCCGAGAGCTTTCCATCAAGTACTCACCGGCCGAAAACGGAGGTCGTATGGAGATTCGGCGGCCGTTTGAAGTCAGCAGTGTAGTAGGTGGCCGAATCGGATTCCAGCACTTGGAGGACTTGAACTTGATATCTTGTTGTTCATCCATGATGTGAGCAACGGATGTATCCGTAGTAGCCATGGTCACATCAATTTGTCTGTGTCCA